AAATAAAAGAGGAACTTGGCTCCTCCACCATTTCTGAAAATCTACACTCACAGAGTTAAAATACGATTCCCTGTGCCAGTTCGACGTTACCGGCATCATCAATGTCTAGATTGCCGGAAATTGTTCTTTTAATGCATGATAACTATATCATAATAACTGTATCATAATAGCAATGGGATATAATAGGTTCTTCACTTTGTCAAGTATCATGAATAATTCCCATAAATCTCTCATTGGCTGGAATGGAGTTTATTACTAATTAAAATAAATTATGATATTTCGCGATTTGATTTATAATTTTTCACTATCGTAATATTACAATATGTTATTCATAACTTGTCAGTCATTTTTTTGCTAATGAATTCCTTTGTTAATAAAACGGATCTATTTTTTAGGAAAGTTGCACATTATATCTTGCAACAGCGGCTAATACTTCGAGTCCATCCACACCACTCAAAATACTGAGAGGCGCAACAAGAGGAAGGAGCCATGGGGTCGGCTTCATTCTGTGCTGACCGATGGCAGTAAATTAGGAAGGATAGTATCATTGAATGTAGCCGAAAGTGATTCATTGATTGAATGATATTTTCGTTTAGGATCGATCTCTATTCGAGATATTTCAATGCATGAATAACAAAACCATAACCTGTCAGAATGAAGCCAACTACCCTCTGCATTCCTGCTCCGAGTGCATTTGTGGTTATGTATGTTTTTGTTTACCAGTTTTACTTCCTCTTCTATTTTTTTCATTCGTTTTTCATTCGTTAGCTATTCGTTAGCTATTCGCCAGCTATATTCTTCACCATCAGCTACTATCAGACTAGATCCAGAATAAAGTCACAGTTTGCCGCCTCGAAAATTAAAAATTGCTTTTATTTGAAAATGAAAACGCCTTGGACTTAATCGGTCGCCATTCTGTACAGCGTGGACATAGGAGAGTTCCGAACTTATTTTATGAAAATTCATCAGAAGGAAACTTCCCCATTGAATAAAATTGTATTCGCAGTACTGACAGCCGAGGTAGAGATGTATAGAAATTCAACTGGTGCACTTGTTCCCTATTGAAGGTCGTTTGCAAGTTTCTCGATGGCGCCTACTCTGATAAACCTTTGATAAACATACTTGACGTGGGTAAACTAGGGTCCCTTGATGGAAATTGACGTTAAAGTCATCTAACAGGGTACGGACAGATCATAGCTGCATTCTTTTTTAATGATCTAGAGACTTTAGTTTCGTCTACTGGCATCCCTGACATTGCTGTCACGTCACATCCATGGGCGCTACAGAAAATCATTCTAAATTTCAATAATAGGTATGTACAGGGTATTCACTTGTTGAGGTCGTTGAGGAAGATCATATTGCGAACTTGTTTTGTAATTATGATCCGATTCTATTCAAAATTGGAAGATATCTGGGGTTTTCCGGGGTTGGAGATAATGATTGTTTCGTCAAACTTGGAAAATTCAAGATGACGGATCCAATATATAACGAAAGAAATTTCTAATTATGATCTGATTCTATTTAAGATTAATATCTGAGGGTTTTCGGGGTCGAACTTTGTGATTTTTTGTCAAGATTGGGAAATTCAGGATAGCGGATCCAATAAAAATCAAAATTGGTATCTGGAGATATCCGGGGTCGGAGATTATAATTATTTCGTCAGAATTGGGATATTCAAGATGGCGGATCCAATATGGTGGACGAGTTTTGTGATGAAGGTCCGATTCTATCTCAAATTGGTATCTGGGGGTATTCGGGGTAGGAGATAATGATTTAATCGTAAAAATTGGACAATTCAAGATGACGGATCCAATATGGCGAAAGACATTAGTTTATATAATAATTATTACTCTACCACAAATAGAAAATATATAGGATGCAAGAGTGAAAATAGCGTGCCTATAAGTTATACTGCGCATACCTACTTATTTGTTACTTTCATCAATAAATTATTCGAAAATGAAGTTTTATCAAAAGGGAGACGGAAAAATGAGGTGAAGTAAATTCTATTCTTTATTTTCCTACATATTTTACGTTTTTCTTTTTATCAGCCTACTTCTCGTCCTTGACGAAGTTTTATACCTAAGTGTGATATTAGTAACTCCATAAATTCTTCTCTGAGTTGGATTTCCGAAAATATATTTAGCACACATGACATGAGTACCTACCGTAGTTTAGATACCCACATCGAGTTTTCCACCATTTCTCAATCATAAGGCTCTGCTCATTCAGCTCATAGATAAACTACTGCTCAGCTTGAAATCAGAATTCATTCAGTCAATTCAGTCATCCCTGGTATACAGTCTAAGAAAAGTCTCTTTTGGTGAAATACATTATAAGCTTTCAGTACAATTTATATGTTCCCTAACTCGCAAAGGTTATGCTGGAGTAGTAAACTCTAAAACTAGAGGATCGGTCATCTATATCTTGGTATAGTTGAATGAGGAATTCCATATGGGAATTACGTATGATACGCCAGTGACCTCAATATATAACATAAAAAACAACGAATGTCAAAAATCTAGTGTTTATCCCCAGAATTGAATAAGGATGGAACTATATAACTGTTTCACAAACGCTTTAGAGTGAGATGAAACGAGGATCTGTCCGTACCCTGTTAAGATGACTTTAACGTCAATTTCCATCAAGGGACCCTAGGGTAAACCTCGCTAAGCTCATCCTGGTTACAATCCATATTTACAGGAAACATATAACCGACCGATAAATATTTGGGTACGTATATGATTTGGATCAGAGCAGTGAACTGATTCCTGATCGAAGGATCGAAACTTCAATATGTCAAAAATATTCTTCCCTGAGAAAATGGTTATTTCTGAGATTGGGGTCAAGTGTTCGTTCCACCATAGAAAAAAGAAAATCTCTGTTCTACAACAGTATTATTTCAGTGATTTGAAATATTAGCGTGAACTGGTGTGAATAAATTCTAAGGTGAGTACCAGTTACCATATCTGCCTATTATGATTTTCGATATTGGTCTATTCCAATAGTTGATACATTCTTTGTTCTGGTTCTTCAAAGAGGAAATTCATCAGATTTCATGCTTTAAATAGGTTCATGTCATGAAAGAAGTGAAGCTTATTGAAATCGGCTACAAAAAAGATTGCTTGCTTCTATTTCAAATTGAAATTTGAATGAATATGTTGAGCACAGTATTTATTTGACCACAGAACAATGATGGACATAGATTCATCCCTCACAGAACCAAGGTTTTGAACGATTTTCCGATTATGGCGCCTCTGTCGCAAATACCGCAAATACCCGTCAAATGATGGCCGCAAATTTACCTCTGGAAAATTTTAAGATATTTATTGGGTTATGTTATGAATTGTTTGAAATGAAAAAGATGACCTTGTTTTTTTTTTATTAATAATATTGAATCTACTCCAAGACTGAATCACTACCATTACAGAAAGTTATACCTACCTATAACTCATAAGTGAGCTATGATATCAAAACTAGGATAAAAATCTCAACCAAACTCCGCTTTTTCGTTGCAATGTTGCCGATTTTCAGATAATGTCTGAAAACTTCATAAAAGCAAAAAAAGTTTTTTAAATCAGGGTTGCTGTTTTGCTCATGAACATTATTAAAATATTTTACAAAAAATTGCTATTTTGCTGTTTCTACCATGTGAAAAAGCATGTTCTGAAAACTTCAATAATCTCAAGACCATAAATGAGATCCTAGAATCCCTTAATTTCCAATTTGAGAATGGAATCATTTATACTCTTAAGTTTTCTATGGAATTTGGTAAAGAAAAATTATGTAAAAAAATCGGTAGGTTGAATTTCAGAAATGTTACTGATGTAACCAAGATAATACAGTTCATCAAATTTTACAATCTGGCAAAAAATCCGGAAAAATCACACAGTGTGCTATTGAAAAAAGGCGACAAACAAACAATAAAATAGGTCACACATTATGTAGGGGTTGAACTTCATCAGATTAGAATGACTAGCTGCAATTCAAATTCAACCATAGGTTACAGTGTAAACCAAATTCTATGGCCCTTTAGATTTTTGACTTTTCCAAACCTGAGAGATCACTGTTTTGATGAAGAATATACAGGGCTGGGCAAAAGTATAGAACCAAGTGAATATCTCGGTAACCGTTTGTTAGATTTTTTTGAGTATAGGTACAGGGTGATTTCAAAACGTGGTGGATTTGAAAATGTTATCGTCGATGTTGCCACTTATTCAGTTATTCCGGAATTATTATCAAGTTTCTTATTTTAAATAGAACACCTTGTATTTTATTGAATTTTCAGATTCTCCCTGAAAAGCTGATTTCATCGATTTATCACACTTGGGGTCTAGCAAGGATGATTACTGAGATATAGGGTGTTCAAAATCGAGATTTTTCAACTTAAGGATTTTTTTGTGTCCAAACTATTCATTATCGGTCAAAACGGCTCTCATGTTCCTATCTCAACTTTTGATCTACTATCTATTGCTATTTAATGGGAACAGATACAGGGTGATCAGATTTCTGAATCTTGAACCACCCTGTATTTGTTTCAATTAAATGTCCGTAGATAGTGAATCAAAAGTTGACGTAGGGACATGTGAGCCGTTTTGACCAATAATAAATAGTTTTGACACAAAAAAATCCTAAAGGTGAAAAATATTGATTTTGAACACCCTATATCTCAGTAATCATTCTTGCTAGACCCCAAGTGTGATGAATCGATGAAATCAGCTTTTCAGGGAGAATCTGAAAATTAATAAAAATACAGGGTGTTCTATTAAAAATATGGAAATTGATTATCATTCCAGAATAACTGAAAAAGTGGCAACATGGACAATAACATTTTCAAATCCACCACGTTTTGAAATCACCCTGTACATAATATTAAAAAAACCTCTAACAAACGGTTACCAAGATATTCACCTGGTTCCATATTTTTGCCCAACCCTGTATAAAAATATAGCATGCTATAAACACATGTGCTTCTCAAGAAATTTGCTAAGAAAATGTACCTGGATGACGCTTGGCTATATCATCAAGGGTTGACCGCAGATTCTCATCCCTATTGGAGGATCTGTCAAATGGAAAGCCACTCTGAAAATAAAACCATCATTTGAATTGTTCCCTAAATTGAACCAAGTCTGCAGAATTTGGCCTTGAAATGATACTTGTGCTTCTTGAGAAATAAGGGAAATACAAAACTAAATATATAACCTTGCTCACCTGAAATTACAAAACACCCCCTGAAAGTGATACTTCATCATTAAAAATCATTAAAAGTTCTACCTATTATACTCAACAGCACTTTGAATTACCTAGTAGGTATAAAACTTGATTTGTTTTGTGGTCTCATGCAATAATGATACATGGTATTTACATATCTAATTATTAGGTATCTTATGGGTGCTCAGTTTTCAGTTATAAAAAATTCAAATATAGATTTCACATTGCATCTAAAATAGAACTTTATATTTAGGTTGGAGATGGAAATCTTGGTACTCTAATCAAATGGCCAACAATTTGTTCCTTATATTATACCAATCAACTATTCAAAAAAGATATTTACAAGTGATCTATTTATATATTTTGCATATTTTCAGCAGACATTCTTCTATCATATCATTCAAAATATCATATTTATTCGCCAAATTGAACTAGAAATAGCTAATACTTACGAATGGAGACCTAGAAAACGGCATAGTCCACAAACTAACTTAATAAATAATCAAATAATAAATAATCACTGAATTTATGTATTTCTACTACTAGGAAATCTAGATATTCCGTCTACAGAATCATCTGGAAAGTACTAAAATTAACAGTTAAGACTGGACATCAGGATAAGCAGTTGGTAATGCTGTTCATCATGTTAAAATAACAAGAGTATGGTTGAAGTTTGTGTATTATCATTTCAGAAGGATGTGTAATGTGTACATAAATAATGTATCGTTTAAAAAAACGTCTGCGAATGGTGTGATTTCTACAGACTATGAAACTAGAGAAAATTTGCAAGTCAAACTCGAAAATAAGATAAAAAACGATTTTATAATACTCACCAAAAAAAAGAAAACACTTTAACAATATTACTATTTGACAGCACTTAGCACTTAAATTGAATGACAAGTGTCTAGGTGACAGTCATGTGACAGACATGACAGGTCCATTGACATCATCAAGAAGTGATATAGTGACAGTGACATTTTGGGCTACTTCAGAGACGCCACGATGTATGCAACCAACAGTGCAAAGAAAATCCTGTATGATCTAAGTGCTCATCGCTCATCCAATGAACTGAATATAGCGCTCATCATTGTCGCTCATATAATTTTAGAAACGTCAAAGTCGTCAAACGTCAAACGTCTAACTCGTTGACGACAAGTCAATTGTCAAGTTTTTGGAAGCGGAATGAATGTGTTTCCAATTTCGAAATGAAAATAAATAAATGATCCTGAATAATGAACAAAAATAAAACAAATAAAACTATAATTTGTCTGATTTTTAGATATTGATACCATAATCCTGCTGAGAGGAAGGTTCCACAAGTATTTATGAAATGCATTCTTTGTGAAATGGATTTTACTTTTTGCATTGCTTGCCAGATGAACGCCTAATGGATGCCAGAATTACTTTTTCCAGTTTGGGGGCATCAAAAGATTCGGATTTTCTGCATGTAACATACACAGGAAGCAAAAAGGATGCATCTGTATCAGTTGACTCTGTAGGCTATGTAGGAAACACATCTACCAAGAAAGAAACCATATTCAGTCAGTCAAACATAGGTGTATCCAAGAATTCCAAAAGTAATGAAGTTTCACAGGTTGATAAGAAAAATGTTGGGGTAATGAAAAGGCCACAATTCAACAATATACATAGCTCTTACTCTAGTGCATTCAGTATAGAAAAACCAGAAAATGAGGAGAAAGAAGCCAAAAGCTTGATTTTGGTAAGGTGTGATTTCAAGAAATCAGTGAATTCACATCCCTACTATCCCCCACCATTCAATTGTTCAACTTCTTTAATTGACTACTTCAAAGAAGAACAAAACTGTACTCTGAATCAGTCAAAGCCCCCTCAGAAATCCCCAAAATCCAACAGTATGCCACCAAGAAGAGATTCCAGAAAAATGGATCAGAGTCCCATAGTATTAGACTCAGAAAAAAGTAACACAGACTCGGATAGTCCTTCTATGGATTCACCAATAAAGACTGCTGATACTTGTGAGGAAGTTCAGGATAGCCCTGAGAGCAGAAAAAAGGAACTTTGCAGCTATTTGCAGTTGATGAATCCAGCAGACAAAAAAGAAATTTACATTTTGCAGAATAGAAGGTCTACAAGAGTGAGAAATCTAGCAGTAATGCAACAAAAACAAAAACAGCTCCAAGTTGAATTCACAGAAACAGAAGTGAAAAGCAATGATAAAACTGAGGAGGTTGAAACTCAGGAATGCCCTGCAAAAATTGACCAAAAAGAAGGTGAAAATAGACAAAATCATGAGACTTTTTGTTTTCCCTTTCCACCTGAACATTTGATGAAAACTGTGAATGATTTTGATGTTACAATGTCCAAAGTAGTTCCCAAACTGAAAAGGATGTGTAGATATAAAAATATCAAGCTTTCCACTGATGACAGGTACAAAATTGAACCATTATCAACAAAAAGATCAGATGAAAATGGTGTTTCAACTGAAACTGTGGACATGAAAGCATTAAAATTGACTCCTAAAAAAACAGTACAAAGAAGTATGATAACTGGCAAAAGAATACTAAATGATAGAGCAAACTCTTTACGCAGCACAGGCAAATTGAAAAATGTCTCTCTAAAAAAACTGTTGAGAAAAGAAGACACAGAAACAAGCAAATGGAAATCCTTGAAGCAAAAAGAAATGAGAGAGAGTCACAAGGTATCTACAGGAAAACCTGAATTTTCTCCAAAACCTAAAAGACCCTCAAAAGCAAAAACCCCAAATTCTCATTGTGAAATTGTCACTGTTCCTTTTGGGGAAGACAACGATGATTCACAATACTTTATGGAAGACATGGTTGATTTTGACAGCCTCAGTGAAGAGCACAGAAAATGTTTGATAGAAAGCAGAATATTTTCCAAACCAGTGGAAAACTCTTCAAAATTATTGAATGACTCCATATCCTCAATCAGAGCAATGTCACCATTATATGGATTCAGCAAGTCAGAGTCAAGCATGAAGAACAAAATTTCAAATAACAATTCCACAGAAATGGAACCTTGTTTGTTGAAGCCAAAGGCTAAGAAACCTTGCAAAGAAGTTATTTCTGGTGATGATAGCAAAAGCACCTCAAAAAGCACACCTTTGTATGGAAATAATACTTATCTAATTCTGAATTTTCATGGTGCAGAGCCCAAACCAGTTAGTAAGGAGAAAAAGGTGATAGTTAAGGAGAAGCCAAAGAAAAAGAAAGGTGAAGGGGCCTCTTTATCTGAGCATGATTATGCTGGACATCCCAATGAGAAGGTAAACTTTGTTCAACATAGGGTATCTATCTCTCTCTATATATCTATCTCTATTTTTCTCTGTCTATGTCTATCTATCTCTATTTTTCTCTATCTATCTCTATCTGTATATCTCTATATGTCTAGGTGTAACAGGATCATTTTGATGAGATTTATGTGGTGATGAATCTTGAAATTAAGTTTGAAATTTCACTTAAATGGCATCATTTATCATATCACCGGAAGTGGAAAATAAAACATATTTATGACAAAACATGACATTTCAAGTTGATTGATCATTTCAATTTTCTATCACTTATCTCTAAAACCATAGGGGAAAAAGGGGGTATACCATGATCCTGATACACCTGGTATATCTATCTATATATCTATCTATAACTCTATCTATATATCTATCTATATCTTTATCTATATCTCTATCTATCTATCTATATCTCTAAATAACGAAGAAATCTAATTAATTCATTGGTCCAGACTGCATCCCACTAATATTTCCAAGAATATTATTATAGAACAGTCACGAAAGCTTCCCCTTGTTATATATCTCTATCTATATATTTGTCTATATCTTTATCTATATCTACATCTATATCTCTATTGATCTCTCTATCTATCTATCTTGCTCTATCTATCTCTCTATCAGTATATATCTGTATATATCTATCTCTATCTATCTCTCTATCAGTATATATCTCTGTATATATCTATCTCTATCTATCTCTATTTCTATCTATCTTCATCCATCTCTATCTATCTATCTCTATCTGTACTTATCTGTATTTATTTGTATCTATCTGTATATATCTCTATATCTCTGTATCTATCTGTATCTATCTGTATCTATTTATCTGTATCTAGGAACTCACGATGTTCTTTGAACATTATAGGGATTCCCGTTCGTGCGCTCCAAGCGATAAAAAAATCTATCTCTATATATCTCTACTCATCCCTATCTATGTGTATCTATATATCTGTATCTATCTATATATATATATATCTCTAAATATCTCTATCTATATGTATCTATCTGCATCTATCTGTATCTATCTGTATCTATCTGTATCTATCATTATCTATCTGCATATATCTCTATCTATCTCTATATATCTCTTTCTTTATCTATCTCTTCCTTTCTCCATCTTCCTCTATCTATCTTTATCTTTCTCTATCTCTCTCTCTTTCCCACTCTATCTCTTCATATATCTCTATCTCTCTATCTATATATCAATATCTATCTATCTATCTATCTATATCTCTATCTCTATCTGTCTATCTCTGTTTATCTCTATCTATTTCTCTGTTTATCTCTCTCTGTCTATCTCTCTCTCTGTCTATCTATGTTTATCTCTCCCTGTCTATCTCTCTCTGTTTATCTCTGTCTATCTCTCTATATTTGATTGTTCTAGTAACATCATTCTATTGATTTTATAAATGCTGCCAACTAGGCACATTATTTATTCTTTCCTCATTTGGATTCCCAAATTGTATTTGAACATAGTGGATTTGTATGTTACAGTAACAGACATTTTCTGATGAAATTAGATTTTTGATTTATGAAAAAATTATTGCAGGAGACTGATTTATACAGACTCGGATTTCTTTCAATTCAATAATCAATATATTGCAATTTTTTGTACTCCAATTAATTTTCCTATATCATTGTTTATGTAAAAAAAAGTGCTTCATCAAGGCAGTAAAGTATCAGATTCAAGCCTTGGCTTCAAATCTGCCTAGAAAGATACATGCCTTTTTCCTTCAAATTTTCAGCTGCAGCTACAAATAGCTATTCACTGACTATACCATATTATAATATTACATAAAAGTGCTGATTTACTAACGCAAAATTAGCTATCAAACTAAGTACCATTTTTTCTAGTTGAAAACCATTGTTTTTTACTTGAAATTGCTAATGGGTATCACTGCCTATATTTTCTCAAAATGTCCCAATAAATGTCGAATATTTACACTAACAAGATGAACCATCCTTCTATCTATCTATGAGTGACAAGGTGAACAAATTTTTGTTGAGTAGTGAAGGGTAGAGATCGGGTAGAGATCTGTAATGCAGAATATATTCCAAGTTTATTTTCAGTTGTTTTTATGCAAAAAGGAATATTGGATCAGGGCCGGAATAAAATGTTTTTATTATTCAAAAGTCAGAATATCTGAGCTAGTGATTTTCCTGCTTCAGAAAGTAGGATATTCCTATACTGGGTGTTTCTCAAAAGTGGCTCACCCCTATAACTTTTTGCTTTTACAGATAACCTCGCAGATAACCGAATGAAGTTCGGTGTCTAATTATAGTACATAAATATGCATTATCTGACGTATTCAATTGTTCTCCGTCACTTCCGGTTCGACCGGAAATTGTTTTTATTTTCTTATTTCAAATGGGATACGCGGTATATTTTTACTTATTTCGATAGAGAATAACATTGTGAGTACAGTGTGTCCAGTTTTCGATGGTTTTGCGTGATATCTCAGTTATCTTTCGAGATAGAACCTTGCGGTTTTCGCGGTCCTGTACCACTTTTCTGTGAAATTCAAGATGGCCTAATCAGATTTTGCATAACTGTTTGCGTTTATGAGATACAGGGCGATTTTGAAAATTTATACTTTTTGGGCCCCCTCTATATCTACGAAGTTTCTCAGCGAAAATGTCAAATTGGAATCTTATCTCATACAGAATTTTGCGCAGAATTCAGTGGCGCACTCAATTTTTTTTTCTGGGTATGGTTTCGGAGATACTACTCAAACTTATGATTTTTTAAATGGAACACCCTGTATTTTATAAGCTCATTAAATTCCTTATTTTTTTCCCATCAAAATGAAATATGATAAGTATACAATTTTCAAAAATGCCCCAAAATCACTAAAACATTGAATTTTAATTATGGGCTATGGATTTTTCATTCAAAAAAAGTTCCAATTGAAGGGATAATTCATTTGATTCTTCCATGAAAAGGACAAAAACAATCCCAACACTAGTTAATTAAGATAACACAAAAATTAGGTACCTGATAACAACAAATGAATGGTAATAAAAAGTTCATATTCTAGAATAAGCACCTGATTTAATATTCACTAAGACAATTAAATAGTAACTTATTCATTGAATTGTTCAAATTGATGTCCACTTTCCCTCACACGCTTTCTCAATACGTCTTAATGCATTCAAAATCATTAAAGGATGTCTTTGTAATTCCTGGAAAACTGCCTCTGTTGTTGCACGAAGTTCTTCAAGATATTTGTGACTCTTACTGTATCAAGACGTATTGACAAACTGTGTCAATTGTGTGTCATGGGAAATGGACATCAATTTGAACAATTCAGTGAATAAGTTATTGAATAATTCCGAAATTCAATTGTATTTGTAAATATTTGATCTGGTGCTTATTCTACATTATGAACTTTTTATTACTATTTATTTGTTGCTATCAGGTACATAATTTTTGTGTTTTCTTAGTTAATTAGTGTTGGTATTGTTTTTGTCCTCTTTATGGAAAAATCAAAATGAATATTCCTTCAATTGGAACTTTTTCATAAGAAGAATCCATAGCCCACTATTAAAATTCAATGTTTCAGTGATTTCAGAGCATTTTTGAAAATTTCATATACATACATTATAAATCATTTTGAAGAGAAAAAAATGAGGAATTTTATGAGCTTATAAAATACAGGGTGTTCCATTTAAAAAATCATAAGTTTGAGTCGTATCTTCAAAACCATACCCCGAAAAATAAATTTGAGTGCGCCACTGGATTCTGCGTGAACTTTTATATGGGATGAGATTTTAATTTGACATTTTTGCTGAGAAACTTCGTAGATATAGAGGGGGTCCAAAAAGTATAAATTTTCGAAATCGCCCTGTATCTCATAAACGGAAACAGTTATGCAAAATCTGATTAGGCCATCTTGAGTTTCACAAAAAAGTGGCACACGACCGCGAAACCCGCAAGGTTCTATCTCCAAAGATAACTGAGATATCCCACAAAAGCATCGAAAACTGGACACACTGTACAATGACACCCCATTTTCCACTTTTTGGCATTCATCACTCTGAAATTTTCATTTTTCAATGTTCAATCTAGAGTGCCATGAAACAGTTAAACAGTTGATTTTGTATCAAGTTTCCAAGGAAAAATAGTTCCGATGAAGTTTTACTTTAATTTTCAAAAATGGATATTGAAAATTGTTTATGGAACAGATTATTTATTTCCAACCGACTTTTAATACAAGGAATCCCAAAAGATGGATATAAATCAGCTTTATATTTATTGTTTATCAACTTACATGTTCAAAAACAGACGTGATATTAAGTTAAAAAAATTTACCTATGATATAAGAAACTAAAACAAAACATTAAAATATAAATCCAATGAAACAATTGGACAAAGAAATTATAAATATTTGATATTGAAGAAGTCAAATCCTTTTATTGCTACAAAACTAAAATGGAAAATTGGATATTATTAGGCTCTTCAAGGAGTTTATTTGCTTTATCTGGTTGATATCTAAACTGGTCAACATTGATAACGTGTTCCAAAATTCTTTTTCGAAAAATCATTCGATACCTCTGTTGTCTTGAGAGATACAAAAAAAAGTTTTGCAATCAAATCAAAGTGATAACCGAGCTTCACATTTCAAAATTTCTTTGAAGTACACAGGGTGTTCTGTAAGGTCACAGCACATGAAAGCTATGTTTTTTTCATTGGAACACCCTATATTTTATTTCATTTTTGAATTCTCCCTGAAAATCTGATTTCAACGACGTATCATACTTAGGGTCTAGCAGTGAAAGTTACTGACATATAGGGTGTGCAAAATCGAGATTTCACAAGTTCAGCATTTTTTTCTGTCGAAACTGTTCATTATTAGTCAAAACGGTTTACATGTCCCTATCTCAACTTTTCAATCACTATCAATTGGTGTTCAATTGACATTTAATTGAAACAAATTATAAATTTAGATTTTTTGACCACCTTGTATCAATTTCAATTGAACACCAATTGATAGTGAGTGAAAAGTTGAGATAGGGACATGTAAACCGTTTTGACGAATAATGAACAGTTTCGACAGAAAAAAAATCCTGAACTTGGAAAATCTCGATTTTGCACACCCTATATGTCAGTAACTTTCACTGCTAGACCCTAAGTATGATGGGTCGTTGAAATCAGATCTTTAGGGAGAATTCAAAAATGAAATAAAATATAGGCTGTTCCAATGAAAAAAACATAGCTTTGATGTGCTGTGACCTTACGGAACACCCTGTGTATTTCAAAGAAATTTTGAAATGTGAAGCTCGGTTATTACTTCAATTTTGATTCATGAATTTTTTTTGTATCTCTCAAGACAACAGAGAAATCGAACTCTGGAGTCTTAGTTGGCCACCCTGTATAGTCGTCGGATATGTGATTGTGTTCAAACACAGAAAATTCTGAAGAAGTCTATACAAAGTGATACAAGAAATACTGAATTATGGAATGGAGAATAACGTAGTCTTCAGTAGATGAAACCTAATTTTCTCTTTGTTACTAGTGAAATAATGGAGTGTTACTTCGTTATGAGGATGTCTGGTGACTGACCTGGGAATGGTTTTGTAATTTCTCGGATCGAAGGTCATATAATGAAAGAATGCATTTTTAATCAAAATGATGCATTTTCATAAAGATAAATTATAAAATTAAAAAAATTACGATTGTAGTTCCAGAAGTATGAAATTTATATTTATTCTTGAAAAAGTCATGATTCTTTTTTTAAATTCCAAAAAAGGGGGCCTTTGGGGTTAATTCTTGCCCGACAAAATATTGTGAGATATTCACATTATCTAGTACCATCAGAGGATCTCAACCATAGAAAAAAACTTCCATCCACGTGTATTTTGAAAAAGTTATGATTTTTTTTCGAAATTCTGAAAGAGGGGGCTGTGAAGTTGATTCTTGTCCGACAAATTATTGTGAAATATACAGATTATTATAGACCCTCAGAGGAATACATTGATAGAAAATAGTTTCATCCGTGGACTTATTTTGGAGGTTATAGTAATTTCATGGCCAGCCATGAATATAAATTAATAATGAACGACCATTGGTGGTATGGCGCGCGCCTTGAATATTAGGCGAAGTCATGGCAGGAACTCGTGGCTGGTTTCACACTGATGTTATTGAGTAATCTAAATGGAAGTCTTGAAAACACCTACATTAAATTTGGAGTCGAATCGAATTTTTATTGTTTCCTCAAGAACTAAGCTAGATACAAAAATCACACAAAGGATAAAAAAAATGTTATTTAAATAGTTCAATCTAATAAAAATATGAAAAATAGAAAAACCGGTGGCGTACAATGACATTCACCATGAGTATCGATAAATCCATCCACTGTGACTCCACTGGAAATATTATTCCGAATGTAATTGCACCAGAAAAAGCTCTATATCACTATTAACAACACCACAACGTTTTATTGAAATTGATGGAAAGACAATTGAGTAATGAATAAAAAGACGATTTTTCATGGAAAAACTAATACCCTGTATCTCGAAAACGAAGCAAGTTAGGACACATGTTCATATAAACTTTGGTAAAACTGCAATTATCGTGCAATGGGTTTTTTTTCAAGAATTTTTTTGGTACTTACGTATTTTTGTCTGAAAAACGCGAATTTGGCAATGAAAATGTGAACAAACCATTATTTATCAAGATATTTCACTATAAAGTTACAAATTTCACCTTCTTTCCCGCCTGTCTTCTGGATCGCATTTAGAACAATTTGCCCTTTATTTTTAATCATTGGACAATTCATAACTCGTCATACAAATTATATTTTCTGTTGAATTTTCTATGTAAAAATGTGTTATTGGAGTACATCATGAGTATGTAAAGTGTCCAATGATAAAATAAGAAGGGCAAGTAGCTGTAAATGCATCCAACGTGAGTGGAAAAACAAGGCGAAATTCCGAACTTTTTCTTGAAATATCTCGATAAATAGTGGTTTGTTCAAATTTTCATTATCAAATTCGTGATTTTCAAACAAAAATACTCAGTACCAAAAAAAAATTATAAATACAGTTTTACCTGAACTATATTTCCTAAAATATCACGAGGAATCACCCCTTGAATTTTTTCGGTGTCATTTAGATACCCCCTGTAAAAAACTAAATCAGATTTTTTCGTCGGTTCTGAAGAAAAAAATCGAGAACGCCGATGTCGACGTGGAAACAGTCCCCATAAAAAACATGCACGTTGGCTACTTGGAAGTCAACACGAAATTCATCACAAAAAAGAACAAATTCGAAATTTTACCGCACAAGACCAGCGAAATAAAATCACTGCACCGCAGCCTGCAATTCGACAAGAAGAAGAACGACAATCTAGCCGTAGATGCGAGTTTGGCCCACGAATGGGACGCCACTGATGGCTCTCCCAAGCAAAAATCGAAAAAGCAGTCGCATTCCATCACGATAGCCAAGGAAAATGGTCAGGTGATCAAGGCGTTTTACGTCGATTACAATCTGATTGTTTGCCAGGAGTATGTCATCTCGTTCTGGATGCAAACACCGTTAGGTAAGACCAATATCTTTATTACACTTCTTTGAAATCACCTTGTTTTCATCTATTGTGCCCGTCTAAAGTCCTTTCCCTCCCCCCTACTAATTTTTGAACCATCTGGTATATCGCAACGTGTCCTAATGGATCCCGTACATTTTGGTCCTTCGCCAAAGCTGTAGGAAGAAACTTCACGTCCAGCTCGGTTCTTCCTTTAACCAAGGAAGATGGAACACTAGCCACAACTGCCCAGGAGAAAGCCAACATTTTTGCGCATACATTTGCTAGAAATTCCACTCTGGATTCTTCGGGAAAAGAGCCTCCAAACATAACGCCAATTGACAGTCATATGCCCGAGATCACCTTTCGCCAACGTACTATAAGGAAGATTTTATTGGGTCTCAACAACAGCAAAGCTTGTGGCTCCGACGAAATCCCACCGATTATTCTCAATAAATGTGCTCCCGAACTAACACCTGTTCTCTGCAAGTTGTTCAACTACTCTTACAAATTGGGAATATTCCCGTCCAACTAGAGAATTGCAAGAGCACAACCAGTTCCTAAAAAAGGCCAAAAGACTCTACCTAGCAACTACAGACCGATCGCACTGCTATCTATTATTTCAAAGATCATGGAGAAAGCTATCAACATCGAGCTCATGAAATACCTGGAACATTCAGGTATTATCAACGATAGGCAATATGGCTTTCGTCCTAAGAGATCAACTGGTGACCTGCTCGCTTTCGTCTCACATATATGGCAGCAATCTATTGAAAAATATGGTGAAACCTTAGCCGTGGCACTTGATATCTCCAAGGCATTCGATCAAGTCTGGCACCACGGACTCCTCGCCAAGCTTCCATCTTATGGCTTGCTTCCCCTGCTATGTTCTCTGCTAGCTAGTTTTCTCTCAAACAGGTCTCTCCATGTAGTGGTCGATGGAGTTTCATCTGACTCTCTTATCATAAATGCTGGTGTTCCGCGAGGATCAATTCTAGCACCAACACTATTTCTACTCCATATCAACGATTTGTTGGAAACAACTTCATGTCCAGTACACAGCTTCGCGGATGATTGTACCCTCCATACCGCCTTCTCTTCCAGGGCTCCAATACCAGCAAGGCAAATCAGAAACGAACGAGGGAGGAATGTTGACAACATAAATATAGATTTGACAACAATTCTTGAATGGGGATCCAATAACTTGGATTTCAATGCAAACAAAACACAAGCATGCCTATTCTCTAGAAAAGCCGATGTCACTGTGCCCAACATAAGCTTGTCAGGAGTAACCATACCTGTGAAGACATCCATTTCGATGCTTGGTATTACTATCAGCAATAACCTTTCTTGGGAAAATCACGTGAGATCAATTGCTAAAAGTGCATCGCAAAAACTTGTTTTTCTGTTTCGGGCCAGGAGCTATTTCACTTCCAGTCAGCTGCTTATGATCTTTAAGGCACAGATCGGACCTGTCCTGGGATACTGTACCCATATTTAGAGTGCAGCACCCAAACATACCCTGAAACTGTTGGATTCTGTCCAATCTCTTTCTTCCCTTGATTCTCACGATGTTCTCTGAACATTACAGGATATCCCTTTTCGTGGGAACCAGAACATAAAAAGAACTTGAATTTTCCGAAATATTCCACAATGTTCTATAATATTCGATAATGTTTCTGATATTTCAAGACATATTGGTACCTTGCGGCCACACCTAACGACCCGTGTTCCTGAATGTTTTAGACGGTTCCATAATGTTTGAAATATCGTAAGACGGTGAAGGATATTCTATAAAGTTCGAGAATGTTGAAGGATCTCTCATAAGGTTCTAGAGTTCTCCTGAAAATTCTGAAATGTTCCAGAATAATCCTCCAATGTTCTAGAATAATCCTCCAATGTTCTAGAATGATACATGAATGTTCCTGGATGTTATGCTATCTTCAAGAAGTTTCGAGAATGTTCCTGAATTTTCAAAATATTCTTAAATGTTCTATAATGTTCCAAGGAAGTTCCATGATGATTATGGAATGTTTTAGGATGTTTCAGAATGTCTTAGAGTTCCAGAAGGTTCAGAAAACGCTTCTTAATTATCCAAAATGCTCCAGATTCTCGTAAAAATTTTTTCAAAGTATTCCAGAATGTTCTATAATATTCGATAGTGTTTTATCTTCTATACTGTTCAATATTGTTCTATAATATTCTTTGATGCTCTTTAACGTTCACTAATGTTCTTCAATGTTCCATAATGGTCTATAATGTTCTAAAATGTTTTTCAATGTTCTATAATTTTCGAGAATGTTCCTGATACTTCCAGGCAATATTCTTGGTTCTCAAGACATGTGGGTACCACGTGGCCACACCCAACGTTTGGTATTGAGCAACAAGTGCACGCAAAAAGATTCGATGGAAAAAGTCATTTGCACCGAGTCCAGCGTGGTCTACATCGAGCTGTGGATGAAAGAGCACAAATCGGAGATGCGTCAAGGTCCTGTGGCCGATGTTTTCGTCGCCCTGTATTTTTGGAAGCAGCGGCAAAACGGGCTGGACAAGAAAGTGTTGCAGCTCGAAAATATTAACGGGTAACGTTGATTTTTCTTCATTTTCAAAATGTTGGATCCATTACTACTGGCGAGCAGTGTACAGGGTGATTCACCATAAATGTCCCCCCTCTAGCTCAGTTATTTTTGAACCGATTTCAAAATTTGAAAGATCATCTTGAATGATTTTCGATAAAGTTTTCTTCCGCTAGATCAGAAAATACAGGGTGCTCGGAACAAACGATCTACAGGGTACTATTTGATTTTTTTGAATGGAACACCCTATTTTCATTGTATTTTTAGATTCTCCCTGAAGAGCTCATTTGATCAATGTATCACACTTGGGGTCTAGCGGGAATGATTTCAGAGATATAGGGTGTTCAAAATCGAGATTTTTCAACTTTAGGATTTTTTTGTGACGAAACTATTCATTATCGGTCAAAATGGCGATCATGTCCGTATCTTAACTTTTGATTTACTATCTACTGACATTTAATAATTTGAACAGATACAGGGTGATCAGAATTCTGAATTTGAACAACCCTGTAAATGTTCCAATTAAATGTCACTAGATAGTAAATCAAAAGTTGAGATGGGGATATAAAAGCCTTTTTTACCATTAATCATCCAATAATGAATAGTTTCGGCACAAAAATATCCTGTATTTCCTGATGCAACGGGAAAAAAATTTCTGAAAAGTCATTTTAGATGCTTTCAAATTTTTAAAACGGTTCAAAAATAAGTGAGCTAGACAAGAGGGGGGGGGGGGACATTTATGGTGATCACCCTGTACAAGATGCGCCTCTTGAAATGGACCCCCCCTTAACTCTTTTGTTTTCAGAGATGTGAAAAAATTTTGAATAAAAAAGTTGTTCAAATGTCCCAAACCTTTATTTCGTGAAGTTGTTCGATATACAGGGTCATTCGTTTTTCCAGAAAGAACATTGACTTTTTTCAATGGAACACCCTATATATTTTCTGATATACAGATAGAGCCTTTTGTTCTGATTTCTAAAATATATATGAGTTGTATATTTGCATGAAAAATAATTGAGTAATTGATGATCAAAGTTTATCAAATATTCCATTAAAACTGTCCATTCATTTTTTTTTTCATTGAGATTGAACGATTTCAATTTCATAATAAACAAAAATCGTGACATTCCCATGCAGCTAGAACAATATATTAACATTATTTAAAATCCCACTATGCTCAACTCACTTTAGATGATATGAAGTGAAGTGAAGTAAAGCGGTATTTTGATAAACTTTGATAATTAATTACTCAACTAAATATTTTCCTTTCAAATGGACAAATCAAAATATATTTTTGAAATCAGAAAAAAGGCTCTATTGGTATGTCGGAAAATATATAGGGTGTTCCATTGAAAAAATCTGAGTTCATGTCCTTTCCGGGAAAACGAATGACCCTGTATATTAAATAATTTCACGAAATGGAAGTTGGGGTCGTTTCAAACAACTTTTTTATCCACCATTTTTGTCATATCTCTGAAACCAAATAGTCCAAGAGCCGGCTGCAAATTACGACCGTCATCTGACAACGAAATGATATACAGGGTATGTCACGACGAGCTTACACTATCTTTATATCGATAATCAGTCAGGAGAAATTCATGAAAATATGGATGCTTATATTTTAAAATACGCTCTCTTCATTTAAAATATTTTCAGCAATGCAGTGTTGCCGCTTCTATAAAAAAGTAGCAATAACTTTGTTATTTCAAATAGATTCTTCCTGAAGAGCTTTTTTCATCAATATACCACAGTTGGGATCTATCGGTAATTATTACACTGATATAGGGTGTTCAAAATCGGTATTTTTCATCTCTAGGATTTGTTTGTGTCGAAACTATTCATTATCGGCCGAAACGGCTCACATGTCCCTATCTCAACTTCTGATTTATTATTTACTGATATTTAATCGGAACAGATACAGGGTGATCAGAATTCTGAATGTTGAATAACTACAGGTGCCGTTCGATGAACTTCAATGTTTTTACTTTCTTTTGGGACATATATATTTTTGCAGAGATGTTCGCAGCAAACTCTACTTTAGATTCCCCGAAATCGTCTTCCGTCAACGCACTATCAGACGAATTTTGCTTGGTCTCAAAACGAATAAGGCTAACGGTCCTGATGGAATTCCACCCATTATCCTCAAAACATGTGCACCAGAGTTAGTTAACACCGATTCTCTGCAAGTTGTTTACTGTCTCGTACAGGTCGGGTATTTTTACATCATGCTGGAAGACAGCTAGAGTCCAACCAATCCCCAAAAAAGGGAATAAGAACCTGCCCAATAACTACAGGCCCATTGCCCTGTTATCAGTAATCTCCAAAGTGATGGAGAAAGCCATCAATATTGAGCTTATCGAATATCTGGAGAGCTCAGGAATCATCAATAATAGACAATACGGCTTTCGCCACCGAAGATCTACTGGAGATCTACTTGCCTACGTCACCCATTTATGGCAATCTTCAATAGAAAAACACGGGGAATCTCTAGCTGTCGCGTTGGACATATCGAAAGCATTCGACCGTGTTTGGCACGAAGGACTCTTCCACAAACTACCATCATACGGCTTACCACCTCAGCTATGCCATCTCTTATCGAGTTTTCTTTCAGGCAGATCGCTTCACGTGGTGGTGGACGGTGTATCGTCTGATACCATTGGCATCAATTCCGGCGTTCCACAAGGATCAATTTTGGCACCAACATTATTCCTGCTTCATATCAATGATCTGTTGGGAGTAACAACTTGCCCCATCCACAGCTTTGCAGATGATAGAGTCCGACCACGTTAACTTTGGGACAGCATGTGACGCAACGCATATGCATATTCAATGCATACGCGACCACGTGCTGTCCCAAAGTTATCGTGGTCGGACTCTAGTACCCTCCATACTGCGTTCTCTTCCAGAATTCGCATTTCTTCCTAGGAAACTAAGAACTCACGGCGCAGGCAGGTCAATGCTGTCAATGAAGATCTTGCTGAAATCACAGCCTGGGGAACCAACAACCTAGTTGAATTCAACGTCACCAAAAATCAAGCCTGCAATTTCTCTAGAAAGGCGGAACTCAGTATGCCCGACATTTTAATGTCTGGCACCACCATCCCCACCAAGCCCACCATATCTATGCTCGGTATTTCCATCAGCAACACTCTTTCATGGGATAATCATGTCAGATCCATCGCATAAGCTGCTTCACAAAAACTCGGATTCTTGTTTCGTGCGAAAAGCTACTTTACACCTCAACAGCTTCTCATGCGCAGATACGGCCTGTTCTAGAATACTGTTCCCACATATGGGGTTCAGCACCAAAACATACGCTGATGCTCTTAGATTCCATCCAGAGAAGAGCCATTCGTCTGGTGGGTGACGCCACACTCACTCACTCTTTGACATCATTGGAACACCGTAGAAAGGTCGGCGATCTTTCACTTTTCTATCGATACTTCCACGGGAAATGTGCTTCGGAAATCTCTGCTATCATCCCTTCACTAGCAATACCAGTCAGGCCAACCAGACAAGCCCAGTCAGCACATCCTTTCGTTGTCAACCTCGAAAGATGTCGAACAGCACTTTATCAAGGCTCCTCCATCCATAGAACGGCTAGGCTCTGGAATTCATTGCCTGAGGAAATATTCCCAACAACACATAATCTCCAGAAGTTTAAAAAAAAGTTCAATACCTACCTCCTGTCTCTATCCTCCCTAGGAACGCACGATGTTCTTTGAACATTATAGGGATTCCCTTTCGTGCGCTCCAAGCGATAAAAAAAATATACATCATTTCGTTATTAGATGACGATAGAAATATGCAGTCGGTTCTCCTACTAAAAAGAGTTGAGAGGGGGTTTCCATTTTAAGAGGTGCACCCTGTACGATGCCCGTCTAATAAAGATCATTTGCTTTCTATTAATTTTTGAACCAAATGGTATAATGCAAAGAAATGATAGCTCAGTTTCAAAATGGCAGCTGAGCGCCTTCTTGAACTATTTTGCCAAATGGACACCTCATAATATACAGAGTGACCCATTTTGAGCGATTTTCACGATTTTTTTTTTAATGTTGAAGAAGGAGAGGCGTATTTAGGAGCTGAGCGGCGTTCATTAAAAATAAACAAAGTCTGCTAGATCACATTCAGAGGCTGAAAAATCCAGAATCAGTATTAGCGATTCTTTTAGAAAAAATCCGCGCACACTCAGTTCTTCAGAGACATACATCCTTTTGGAAAGTACCGTGCGTTTTTATCAAAATGGAAAGATAGGTCGAATATCAAGTGCGTCACTTTTTTTGGAACTGAGTGTAGTTAGCAAAACACGTGGGAGTGGTAAAACTGTGTAGTGGAGTATCATTTTGGTCAATTCCAACTCAACCAAAAACTCGAATGTTTCTTTCAATCAAGTATGCTTTGAGTTTTTGGTCTAATTCAATTTTTCATTCAGATTCGCAGATGACGTACAGTATTCCGTGATGAAAACAGCGCCGAAAATCATCGTCAGTTGGCATTCCGCCAACGAGGACACTGCCACAAAAAGAACCTTCATCCACGCCTACTTATTGGCGGGGGATTATCAAACCGTCTCGAATGTTTATGATATCGAACCGGTCGATCATTATGTCTCTTCACTGCACAATATAGAAGGTGAGTATGCGTCACTGCAATCTTTGGTTTCGAGTTAAGTTTTTGCTCGAAAGTTTTTTTTTTGACTATTCCACTCTTGGTCCCTAGAATCAATCAGAATCGGCCATTTTTACGGTTTCTTCTGTATTACAGAGATATTTTCTTGTTAACTAAAGGACCCCGCACTTTCCTTATGGAAAATGGCTTTCGGTTAAATTCCCTGGATTTTTGGTATCATGTAGATTTTGACTTCCTTAGCAAAAGGGTCCATGGGCACAAAAAAATCGGCCGACTAGTTTTCGAGATACAGGGTGTCAAAGATGAAAAGTGAAGCTTTCTGCTCAGAATTTTTAACAACTCCGAGAATCGACAAAACGCCTATTTATTCATGGAATAACATGCCTGGATGATGGTACAATGTCATCTGGATCTCGTATTTATTATAATTTTACGTTTTTGGCTCTACAACAGGGTGAACAAAGAAAAATCCAATTCGATTCATTTTAAGCCAGCCAGGGTAAGTTCTTTCATGAGAATTAAAGATCCAATTGAGCCTGGACGAACTTCTTCAATCTCGATCGAAGTTAACTGAATTTTTTTTATATACGGGGTGGGTCGAAAATAGGGGTACGTCAATCCCTAGTTTCTTGCAAAAAATGCTGTTTTTTTCAATGAATACTCTGTATTTCGATAAAGAATCGGTTAATTTTCTTGAATTTTTGATATAATGTACGATTTGAGGAGTCCGAGATATTGTCATCAATATAAGCATAGGTCTCCGGACTCGTTCGTCGGCTATACAGTCTGTCCAAGATAAGGTTGAACAGCATGGGGATCTCGAAAACGGTAAGAGATACGAAATCGGTTAAATGGGGAAAAAGTTGCGCATTCGGAGGCTCATATCAAGAGCCTTCGAAAATTTGGAAAATTATTTTTAGTTTTTGAGTTACATCGAAAAAAGTGAATTTTTGGAATTTCTATTTTTTTTTTCTCCGTTATTATTAGAGATACAGCAAAACTGGGAATACTTTTTCATAGCAACTTTTGATGACGGTCAACGTGGTGATACCGATTTTTTCATGCGACGTTTCGTATTCGTGGAACCATCATCAACTTTTGTTTTTTAAATACGGTCCTGATAATTTTTTCACAGATTCTAAAAGGTTTTTTTTTATTCTGAATTCAACCATGTATTATACAAGGTGGTTCATTTGTGTTTCGACCTATTTTTGGCCATCATCAATGTTTTTCCGAAACTCCAAAGAAAAAATGCCATCAGTTCCACTTATTTTGAAGGAAAATTAGTCAATTCACTAATACCTCATCAACTGGTTTCAATCAACAACCCATTTCATTTTGCGGAAACAAAAATTCCATCCATACAAATTCAGAATATGTCAAGCGCTAAAACCAGGCGATGACGAAAGGCGCAAGACATTCTGTGAGTGGTATACCAGGAAATGGTAAAATTTTGCAGATTTCTTTCGAACAATCATCTGGACTGATGAAAGCATGGTCGCTAATCATGGTAGCTTCGATAGAAAAAATACACATTATTGTTCACGAGAAAATGAACATTTATACATTACAGCGAGACACCAACACCGTTTCGGCTTCAATATGTGGGTTGCAATATTTGGTACACGAATTATTGTTCCTTCTATTCACCATGAAACACAGACTTCCGAACGTTATAGAAATTCGCTTGAGAATCATCTTGAGGAAGCTCTGGATGATTTACCGATTGCGGAAGTTCAGAACTGTTTATTGGTTTCAACAAGATGGCGCTCCGGTACATAATTCCAGAGAAGTCCGTGCGTTTTTATCCCTTGGCCGGCGCGGTCGCCTGATTTAACACAGCTGGGTTTTTTCTTAGGGGATATATCGAACTTTGTACACGCAAATAACTTTGATGATGAAGAAGAACTAAGGGACAGTGTCTTGGAAGCATTCAATAGAATAACCCCAGAAATGCTTAGCAATGTCTTAGAAACAACTGTGAGAAGAGGATATCTTTGTTCAGAAAATAATGGTTATCATTTTGAACATTTGTTATGAATGTCTCTGTAGGTATTGTCAAAGTTAAGTTGTTAAAGTAATTCGTGTAAGAATTCATCAACAATTTTAAACGCTGCATTGATCGAATGATGTAGTGAAATATTTTTTATTCACTTTTCAGTGTTGAATAACTAATCCATCAAGTTCGACACTAAATGATAAGAAATAAGTGGAACTGATGGCTTTTTTTCTTTTGGAAGTTCGAAAAAACATTGATGATGGATAGAAATAGGTCGAAACACATTCGAATCACCTTGTATAGTACATTGTTGAATTCAGAATAAAAAAACCTTTTAGAATCTGTGAAAAAATTATCAGGACCGTATTTAAAAAACAAAAGTTGATGATGGTTCCACGAATACGAAACGTCGCATAAAAAAATCGGTATCACCACGTTAAACCTCATCAAAAGTTGCAATGAAAAAGTATTTTCAGTTTTTCTGTATCTCTGATAAAACGGAGAAAAAAAATAAAATAGAAATTCCAAAAATTCACTTTTTTTGATATAACTCAAAAACTAAAAATAATTTTCAAAATTTTCGAAGGCTCTTGATATGAGCCTCCGAATGCGCAACTTTTTCCCCATTTAAGCGACTTCGTATCTCCTACCGTTTCCGAGATCCCCATGCTGTTCAACCTTATCTTGGACAGACTGTATACTTTTGTATGTACGGATTTTATTGATACCCGATATACTCCATTGGAGTCCGAAATGGTCTATTTTCCAACAATTCATGTTGAAAAATATTTCGGCTAGATTATTGCGGTACCTATTCAAAAAATGCAATACCTTATATACAGGATGAAATGTTTCTCATTTGAAAGCCCCGTTTCCGAAGAAACTAGAGAAAATTGAAATATATCAGAAGCAATAACCCTCTCAAGGTTGGAACTGATTCTATACCTGCTGCTCTCGGAGATCCAGAAAATCCCAGCGTGCCGTGATAAGGCACACATCCTGGCTGGTGGAATGCAGAAGGTCGTCATACTAGGATCATTGCGTCTACTCAGGGCACACGGTACTTTGTCCCAGTGATTATTCGGTGTCGCGTCAATTGGACGTGGAAAATTGGACGCACGACTATTGGTCGCAGTCAATTGGTCGCGGCGACAATTGGACGCGGCGACAATTGGACGCGGCGACAATTAGACGCGGCGACAATTCGACGCGGCGACAATAGGACGCATGCGTAAATAAAAATAATTTTATAATTCCAATGAAATTCATTGTGTAAAATATGAAATACTGATGGGCTTATATCCATAATTATAACAAATACCTATGGCCTCGTTTGACAATTATTTTCCTATCTCATATCGTAATATGAATTTACGATACGAATATAGTACAATATTTTACCTACTACCAAAAACGCTGATTATTTAATCAAATATGAGGGTTGGATTAGGTTAGGTTAGGTTAGGTGTTATATTATAGATATGAGCCCTGTATATTCCATGTAATAAATTTCATTGGAATTATAAAATTATTTTTATTTCCGCATGCGCTCAATTGTCGCCGCGTCCAATTTTCGTCGCGTCCAATTTTCGTCGCGTCCAATTGTCGCCGCGTCCAATTGTCGCCGCGTCCAATTGTCGCCGCGTCCAATTGTCGCCGCGTCCAATTATCCGCGTCCAATTTTCGTGCGTCCAATTGACCACGTCCAATTGTCGGTAATCCGATTATTCACCTCACAGGCTGTGAGGAGTAGTTACTGGGTTTTATCCAGCACGACTCTGCGGAGGCTGCAGGGTCGTGACTGGAATTATATGAACTCAAATAATAATAATATTGATCATACTATCATAATAGTGATTAATGTCACTTGGTACGTATCTCTGGAGTGTTTCTAACACTATGTTTCTTGGGATCAATAAATGTTATTATTATTCTGGTTTCTCCGATTACATCATTATTTCTTCTGACCTTTTTTTCTTTCAAGAATCTCGTTATCTTCTGCTTAGCTGTAGATAATCACTTTGTCTTCATTCGTGAATTGAAACCTTTTGCATCTCTTCTGGATATAGAAATTAAGTGCCGTCCTACCGACTGCGCCATTTGTGGTACATTGTTTTAACATCGTTTGGCAATGCGTGTGTTTAGTATGACATTTTGTAACCTGTTAGAGATAAATTGTCAAACGTTTTCCCGTCACAGAAAAAAACATTTTTTTCTAATTTTAGACTGTGACAGTTTGATAATGGGCTGTGGAGAAAACAAAATCACCCTGTGGAATGTCGAATTCGGGTATATAGTAGCGACTATTGAACTTTCTGAAATCAAATCTCCACTTTCTACTTTATGGGTGAAGTGTGATAGGGTATGTACACAATTTTTGATTTGCTTGTACAGGGCTAGTTTTATTATTGTGAACCCATATTTATCTTTTTTGTTTTCCATCCTTCCAAACAATTTCAAAGCTGATTTTAAATAATTATTTTTTCTTACAGGTGCCAATAATAGTAACAGTGTTGCAATATCTCTTCAAATATACAGGGTATACGGAAATATACAGGGTATACGGAAATATACAGAGCGTTTCCTAATTGAATGTCAATATTTGAGGAGTCGATTCTTGGGCCCATTTAAAAATGAAAATGTCTTATGAACGTATGACCTAAACGTCTTAACTTTTGACATACAGGGTGGTAAAGTTCTCAAAAATGAATAGTTTTTTATTAATATATGTGATACCACTTGATCTGATCTCTTGAATCATTGTTTCAGTCCAAATCACGGTTTTCAGCTTATAAAATAAAATATATTTCTCTACATTGTGATATTGTCATGTTATTAAAGATAATGGAATGCGCTGTATATTTTGATAGATGTGAATCCCTTATATCATATATTTGAAATCAGGATGAATTTAGGAATACAAATCTATCGAAATATACGGCGCAATCTATTTGAAAAATACATATTTTCCTGTATATCCTCTATATTTGAAGAGGTATGGCATCATTGTCGATATGTAAAAGATGTATAAAATCAGCTTTAAAAAATAAAGGGGGTCAACATTAATAAAACTAGCCCTTTACATACAGTGCATTCCTTTTCGGTTGAGACTGCCAGGTTTCTCGGTTGTCATTTTTTTGACACTGACAATTTTTTTGACGTTTTTAGGGTTTTCTGTTCGCCCTTCAGCAGTGCGTGGATAGAGAATTGAGATTGGTTGCCATCAACGGTATGAATCATTCATGGAAAAAATTAGCCAGCTATCTTCCGCCTGAAGGCTTCGACAGGTCGGTGTCATTATTTTTCCCATCCAAACGTCAATGTTCCATGAAAAAAGATGTTGCATGTTAATGAAGAATGCTAGCGGAAAAATCTCTAAACCGTTTCGGCAAAACACATCAAGCGTTCATAATATGCCTTAGAAAAAAATCCGAAAATTTTTCCATATGATTGGGATAACTTTGAACATATTCATTTTTGTAATGGCTCAATGTTTCTCCCTGTATATCTGAAAACACAAACTTCAATGACAGAGTAGGTAGACCATCTCATTTTTGAACGATTATTACACAACGTGGAACAAACCGTTCCAGAATCGGACTAGTATTTGTTATATTTGATTTCGAAATTAAGTGAAATACACTCAGTTCCAAAAAAAGTGACGCACTTGATATTTGACCAATCTTCTTAAAAAAAAAATAGTAGGCCGATTTTTATTTTTTTTATTTGTGGGTAGGTAATGCATTTGTCTTAAAAAAAATAAAGAGGTGAACATTTTTTCAAAGCCTCCTTGATGGTGGTGGAATAACTCTTACCATGATTTATTCTTAATTTTTGACTCACCCTGTGTGTTAATTGAGTAATGGTATACAAAGTGCTTACACCCTATACGAAAGAGGCTTCTTTTGCGAGCATTTTGTTTTTTTATTCATTGATTTATCTCTAAACTTTTCCGAATTACAGCTTTTTTGCTGATACCTTACGCTTATCCCACAAATTAAATTTATTGAAGGATCAGAGTACTCAAAATTGATTGGGTTGTACTCTGGTAGGATCACATTGTCTTTAAAAAAACAAATGCCGTCGCCATAGCAACTAATTTGTTGTACGCCTCCATATTTGACCATTTGTCGTTGTGTCATCAATTAAGTGTCTTGTTTTATTGACTAAAATCACATAAAAAGCCTCAAATAAATCTTGAACAAGTAGCAAGCTTAGTTGAGTTAGTAAACGATGGGCGTAGTAAACGTTACGCCGCTCTTGCAGTGGGAGTTCATGAAGCAACTGCTCGTAGAGCAATCCGCAAGTACGAACAAACAGGAAGCACCGCTCGGAGGGTCGGTTCTGGTCGCCCCCGAAAAACTTCTCTAAGAGATGATCGCTTCTTGAGATTGCGGATTCTACGGAATCGATCAAATACTGCGGTAAATGTTCAGCAAGATCTACGCCAAATTCGTGATGTTGCAGTAAGTAAGCAGACGGTATGTAGACGTCTAAAAGGAGTTAATTCAAAAGCTAGGAGACCTGCAAAAGGTCCCAAATGATTGCCCGAACATCGTGCTGCTAGAAGAAATTTTGTTGAAAATTATGGACAGTGGAATATTCCTGAAAGGTCGAATGTCTTGTTTACGGGTGAGTCAAGGTTTTGCCTTAACATGGTGGATGGAAGAAAAAGAGTGTGGAGAAGAACTGGTGAACGGTTTAATCAAAATTCAATAACAGAATGCGAAAGATTTAATGGTGGGTCCCTTATGGTGTGGAGAGGGATTTCAATGAATGGAAAGACACCCCTTCATGTTTTTCCGGTGAGGCAGTCGATGAATGCCCAAATTTACATTGACATTTTAGAGCAGTATGTCTTACCTTATGCAGAGTTAGTGGGCAATAATTTCATATTGATGCAGGATAATGCCCGACCACACACCGCAGCAATAGTGCGAAACTTCTTAGAAGCTACTGGTATTACCACATTACAATGGCCTGCGAGAAGCCCCGATATGAATCCTATAGAACATTATTTGTGGGATGAATTAGGGAGAAGGGTACGTTCTCGCGAGAGGTCTCCGGAAAGTCTCGCAGAAATGGCAGATGCATTAGGATCATCATTATATATACATATACAGTCGAGCAAGACGTGTTTTAATTCCGCTCCCGAAAATGAACTACAAATGCTGCAAAACTAAACCCTTTGTGCATTATGTGTGCACAAGATGTTCCAGTGTGTTTCACAAAAGTTGTCTGCAGCAACACTTGAAGAAAAAAGTGAAATTCATCAAAGATAATCAAATAATCTGTTGCCAAGAAAACAGTGAAGAAGTATTCGAAGAGGAAACCAGCCTGTTGGAAAAAACAATAAGCGAACTTGCAGAAGATGGATGTTTGAAAGATAAGTTTATTCAAAAATTGAAAGATGAAAATCGCATCGCAATTCAGGAAGCACTAGAATCTGAGAAAGAAATGAATTCACTGTTAGAACAGCAGAAAAAACTCATTGAAGAAATGGATTGTAAAATTAAGGAACTAAAGAAAGAGATCGCTGAAAAAGTTATCTCTGTAAAAACAACGGACACACAAACATACACCCATCATATGACTCATCAGTCCACAATGACTGATCCCCCTTTCATCAGTGGCGTACACATTGAGGAGCCATTAAAGAATATACAGAACAGCGGAAGAAATATAATTGAGAAAAAGGTGCAACCAAGCGGAACATCTGTTAGGTTGTCTAAGAAAAATAAGAAAAATATTGAAATGAAAAGGAGAATCAAGAGATGCCACCGGTGTAGAAATAAAAAACTCTATAGACAAAATGAAACAAAAATGGGACAAAGTGAAGGGTTCTTGGAAGAGATAATCACAGAAGATACTAGTCTTCACGATGAACTCCGAATAGAGCAACAGAAAGATTATATGGAAAAACCTTTCGAAATTTTTGATAATAGTCCAGATATAAGGAATCAGCAGGTAATATGCGAATCAAAAATCCTTATTTTAGGTGATCAATATGCGACAGGTTTTTCAAAGGTAGTCAAGAAGATTATGACGAAGTCACACTGCAATGTGATGGAAATTATTAAGCCTGACACTGAGCTATCAGACCTGACAAACAATATTTTTGATCACAGTTTGAGTTATGGCCAGAATGATTACATTATAGTGATGTTCAATACTAAGAATATCAGTAATACTAAGACTTTGAACTCAGCACTGAAAAATATTTTGTTGATCAGCAAAACTACTAACCTGATCATAATCTCAGAATGTGACACTGCAATTGATCACATTATAAATTATAAAATACGTAATGCCGTGAAACGTACACTCCGATTTGTGAGGAACTGTTCCATCAAATTTCTTGTCGACAAAAAAGAAAAAGGTAGTAAATTTGATATCTGTACTGAGCTTGAGAATATTTTGTTTGATCCTATACATAAAAATGTTGTTCTTACAACAATACAAACAATAGACGATCCATGTTTCCAAAATTTTCAGATTATAAGTGCCAAAGAAATAAAAATATAACAAAAACTGAAATAACTAGCCATAGTGAATATCTGGATGACCACTACATCATACTTCATCAAAATATACAATGCTTGAAGAATAAAACTTTAGAATTAGAAATATTTTTAGAATCTCTCGAATCTCAACCATCATTCATTTGTCTAACAGAACATTGGTATACAGAGCAAGAACAATGTCTTATTACAGTCAAAGGCTACCAGTTGGCTTCAGTTTTTGCTAGGACATATAAAATACATGGTGGATCTTGTATTCTTGTGAGAAATTCATTAGATATAAGTGATATCTCAGAAATCAACCAAAAAAGTTTGGAATGTGTAATTGAATGTTCATCCGTAATCTGTAAGTCTATAGGATTAGTGGTAATTTGTATATATAGACCTCCTACTGGAGATATTGAGCTGTTTTTACAAATTCTTGGTGAAATACTCGACTATGTGCAAAATAAATATCGAAAATATAAGATAGTGCTCTGTGGAGACTTCAATATTAATTTATTGGATAATGAAAAAGAAAACACCCAGTATTTCATTAATTTGTTATATATGTACAATTTGAGACAAAAAATCTATGAACCAACTAGAATAACACATAGAACTTCTACATTACTAGATAATATTTTTATAAACTTTGAAAACGGCTCCCCTGGTGAGGTAATTACATCTGCTCTATCAGATCATGAAGCTCAAATTTTGAGAATTAGTAACCCTAAACAGGCTGAATCCGTATCTAGTGAAACAGGGACACGAAAGAGAATATTTTCAGACTCAAAACTCACTCAGCTGAGAAATGAACTTTATTACACAAAATGGGAAAAACTTTACTCCATGAATGATCCGAATGAAGCATATGACTGCTTTTTTGGAACATTGAAACAATTAATGGACATCATTGTTCCCTTGAAAAAGGTGAATAATAAAGTGAAAAAAAAGAGAGACTGGATGACTATAGGCATCAGAACATCTAGTAAACAAAAGAGAATATTATATCAACAACAGAGAAATGGAATTATATCAAAAGAAACTTATAAAACCTATTGTAGAATTTTGAAGTCGGTGGTAGATGCAGCGAAAAAAATATCTAATATAAATTATATTCGAGAATCAAACAATAAACCCAAGGCAGTATGGAATCTTGTGAAGTCATATACCGGTCACTCAAGTAGTTTGAAGCACTCTATTATTGAACATGTTGATCCTAATGAGAAAGATAAAACGTTGGTACTTAATGAAGTTAATAAGTTTTTTATTAATAGTTGTCCAGATATGAGATATGGCAAGCATAATATGGAAAATGCTCGTTTCATGCCGAACTCTTTTGAAAAGACCATATTTTTTCTGCCAACAAGTCCACGGGAAGTTTATGTCACAATTAGGGAACTAAAAAATACTAGATCAGTCGGCGAGGATGAAGTTCCAGTGAAACTCTTGAAATATGCTGCCAATGAGTTAAGTGAGCCTTTGGCATACCTAATCAACATTTCATTGTCAACTGGTTTATTTCCGAATAAACTGAAAACAGCATTTGTGAGGGCTATATTCAAAAAAGGCGACAAAAGTGTCATTAATAACTACAGGCCTATTGCAATTCTATCAAATATCAGTAAGATATTTGAGAAAATAATATGTTCAAGATTGACTAACTTTCTGGAATCTAACAATCTTTTATGTGATAGACAAAATGGATTCAGGAAGAAAAAATCAACAATTCGTGCTACTTATCAGGCATTATGTAAAGTAATCGAATCTCTGAACGAGAAGCATGTAACCACTGCTGTCAATCTGGATCTATCTAAGGCATTTGATAGTGTAGACCACCTCCTACTAGCCAAAAAACTGTCTCTTTATGGCATCAGAGGGTTAGCACTCAATCTTCTTACTTCTTATCTCAAGAACAGATATCAGTGTGTGACAGAATTGAATAAAGATGGCCACTTTATATCTGAAAAACTACTGATTACTCGAGGTGTACCTCAAGGATCAGTACTGGGCCCCCTGTTGTATTTACTTTATACCAATAATGTACCTGAAGTTGTTGAAGAATATATGGTTCAATATGCGGATGACTGCTCGATTATATTCAGCTCTGATGATCGACAATCAATACGATGCAATATCACTAGAACTTTGAATACACTGGAGGAATATTTTTCAATGCATAATCTGAAGCTGAATAATAGTAAGACCCAAATAATTCCTTTCACACAAAAAATTGATGAGGACAGCTTCAACCATGGCACAACTTCCTTGTATCCCGTATCTAAACTTTCATTCTTAGGTATCACGCTTGATTCGAAGCTAAATTGGAAATGCCATATTAGTGAACTTTCTAAAAAAATATCGAGATACTGCTATGCTTTGAAAGTCATCTCACAAAATATATCCATAGATGCAGCTTTGCTGGCATATTATGCCTACGTTCAAAGTCATATTAGATATGGTATAATTTTCTGGGGAACATCTATGGATGTCAAGAAGATATTCATACTGCAAAAACGTTGCCTACGAAATATTTTCAATGTTTCACAAAGAAGTAGTTGTAGGTCTTTATTTGTGGATAAGGAGATTCTTAGTTTGATTAGTTTATTGATCTATGAAGCAGTCATGTTTGTAACTGAAAACATGGAGTTTTTCACATGCTATGACAGAAAGCACAGACATAACACTAGAAATAAAAACAATCTTCTAAATATCAGGTCCAACTTTGCATATATACAAAAAAATATTCCCTTCTCATTGATCAACATATATAACAAATTACCTGAATCATTAAGAACACAGCCCATTAGAAAGCTGAAAATTGAATTGAAAAACCTGCTTTTCAAAAAAGCATATTATACACTTGACGAGTATTTCACAGATACATTAGAGTAGATATTTATTAATTTCTAGCTCACTGTTTCATTTTATATATAAGTTATAGTACTTTTATGACTGTGATAACACTCTTATCCATTTTTTTTTGTTTTTGTTTGTTTTTGTTTGTTTTTTTTTTACTTTTAGATGTAGACAATGAGTGACTCATCACAAAGCTTATTTATATACTCACATTTTCTTCTGTTTTTAATGTATGATATTCATGATTTCAATTCATTGTTTTTATTATTATTATTATTTTTATTATTATATACTGGATCATATTGACAGGTTCTACACCTAAAAAGGTATTTTAAAGGAACTAATAAAGGATATCTATCTATCTATCTAGTAGAAGAATGGGATCGTATACCAATGGAAACGATAAGCAACTTAATTTCCAGTATGCCTTGTAGATTAGAAGTTCTTAGAGTTGCTAGAGGAGGCAATACACGGTATTAAGCAGTCACCCAATTTATAATTTTGTGTTTAATAAAAATGTTTTTTAAAATTATTGGTATCAGTTTGTTTCATTAGAAAATTGTTTCTCGATAAATTCAGAAAGTTGGTAATCTGCAAGGGTTCAGCAAAATAGCTGTAAATCGGAATATTTCAGAGATAAATCAATGAATAAATAAACAAAATGCTTGCAAAAGAAGCCTCTTCCGTATAGGGTGTAAGCACTTTCTATGCCATTACTCAATTAACACACAGGGACCACAGGGTGAGTAAACAATTAAGAATAAATCATGGTTCGAATTATTCCACCACCATCAAGGAGGCTTTGAAAAAATGTTCACCTCTTTATTTTTTTTTGAAGACAAATGCATTACCTACCAACAAATAAAAAAAAAATTAAAATCGGCCTACTATTTTTTGTTTGTTTTTTTTTAAGAAGATAGGTCAAATATCAAGTGCGTCACTTTTTTTGGAACTGAGTGTATTCAGGTGGACCACTCCATTTGTCACGCAGTTCATCTCATTTTCACTCATCTTTGTACGTTGCATCCACATTAATAAATATGGAATTCTACCAGAGGTTTGAATGTTTTAGGTTGAGAGGCGTTTGTCTGGAAAACGGTCTTCTTCTCTCCTTTTACGATCAGGGAATTTTGTGCTGGAAAGCGGAATCAGGGGAGCCCGTGGACGAAATTGCCGTTGAAAATGACATAATACCGTCCGGCAAATATGTCATTTTGATCGAAGATAACCAAATCATCGTGAAGCACGTGGTGACGCATTTAATGTCAGTCTCTGTGGACGAATCGTGAAATATTATTATCAGTAATTGTGTTTTCTTTATTTTAAAAAGAGATAGTTCGATTATGGTATTTATGTAATTTTAACGTGGTATTTTTAAAGTTGAATATATTTGTTGTTTCTCTTCATTTTTATGTACATAAATGGATGTATTTTATTTACAGTTTCCTTCAACATTACGCTGAATGTTGAGCAATAGTTTAGTGAATCATACACCAGATCGCTTTGACAATTTTATGAAGCATAATCGTCGACAATGCGGTATTGCCACTTCTATTAGAAAGTAGTAGCAACTTTGATTTTTCAAATGGAACACCGTCTAACAGGATATACAGTGTGTCCCACTTACCATGCTCACCATGTGTATCTTTTTAACGGTGAGAGATACGAGGTCGGTTAAATGACACCAAATGTGGAGTTTGTCAAGGCCAACTATAATGTGAAAAAATATTTTGATAAAATCTATTCGTTTTTGTTTTATACGCAAAAAACAGATTTTGATCATTTTCATGTCTCCTCCGTAACTTCTTTATTTATGAAAATATTCAAATAGGAATTTCACATTCTCATGGCAGTTTTTCGAAGTGATTTCGAAAAAAATATGAAATTTATACCAACTCTTCTAGAATTTGAGATAGCAGCACCAACTTCAGTTTTTCAAATGTAGCTCATAGCTCACTATAACTTAGTTACAAATAACTTTTTTTTCTCTTACAGTTGATATGTCGCAGTAATAGTTTTGTGTTGATAACAACGAAGTTATCGTCATTTATACAAAAACAAATAATCATTTGGAAGCCGCCATCTTGAATTTATCAATTTTAACAAAAAAATCATGATCTCCGACCTCAAAAACCCCCACTCCCCAATTTTGAATGGAATCGGACCAAATTTTGTCCGCCATCTTGGAGCAGCCATTTTTTTTTTAATTTCAACAAAAATTCCATAATGTATTGTCACCGAAATCATGAACACCTGCCAAATTTCAAGTTAATCGGAGTTATGGAATTTTTGTTGAAATTTAAAAAAAATGCTGCTCAAAGATGGCGGACAAGATTTGGTCCGATTCCATTCAAAATTGGGGAGTGGGGGTTTTTGAGGTCGGAGATCATGATTTTTTTGTTAAAATTTATAAATTCAAGATGGCGGCTTCCAAATAATCATTTGTTTTTGTATAAATGACGATAACTCCGTTGTTATCAACACAAAACTATTACTGCGACATATCAACTGTAAGAGAAAAAAAAGTTATTTGTAACTAAGTCATAGTGAGCTATGACCTACATTTGAAAAACTAAAGTTGGTGCTGATATCTCAAATTCTAGGAGAGTTGGTATAAATTTCATATTTTTTTCGAAATCACTTTGAAAAACTGCCACGAGAATGTGAAATTCCTATATGAATATTTTGATAGATAAAGAAGTTACGGAGGAGACATGAAAATGATCAAAATCTGTTTTTTGCGTATAAAACAAAAACGAACAGATTTTATCAAAATATTTTTTCACATTATAGTTGGCCTTGACAAACTCCACATTTGGTGTCATTTAACCGACCTCGTATCTCTCACTGTTAAAAAGATACCCATGGTGAGCATGGTGAGTGGGACACACTGTATAGTGTGTCCCAGCTAAAACTTGTCACCCCCCCAATCTCAGATGTCGGTAAAAATATTGAAAATCGCTCGGACATGTCGATTTCAATTTGGCGGGGGGGCGAATTTTTTGCAGTTATCATATTCCAAAGTTGAAATCTTGAAGCGTATCGGGCATCATCTCTCGATTTTCAAATGGAGCACCCTGTATTTCATTGCATTTTTAGATTCTCCCTGAAGAGCTGAATTCATCGATACATTGGGGTCTATCGGAAATGATAACAGAGACAACAGGGTGTTCAAAATCGAGATTTTTCAACTTTAGGGTTTTTTTGTGTCGAAACTATTAGTCCAATAAATAAAGGGAAAAAGTTAACATTAATTACGCACTATTTTCATCTTCCGGTTGGAAGTAGCTTTTGGTACCTCATTAAACATGAGACAAAGTTTGACTGGAAAACGCGTGCGATGGCGGAGAAAATGGCCCCAAATGACCAGAAAAATAGGTTTTCAGCCAATATCTCCTAAAATATGGCAGTTAGAGATTTTCGGTTCAGATGAAAATTGAAATTCAATTAATTTTCTACGAAAATGGTTCCTATCATTTTTCTCGAAAATTTGCTCGGTTTCGAGAAAAACGGCACGAAGCGCACCTCGAATAATGAGCTTCTGTTGTATGCCGGAGAGCACAGTCCGTGTATTTATTTACACATCGGCGGGGGGACAAATTATTCAATAACTTTGTTAAAAATACATATTTTCTCATGATTCAAAGTTCATGTGAAAGAGGAATTCTGCTGCTATCATACCCTGTGAGTTGAGTCACGCTTGACTCTTCTGGCCATATCGGAACATGGGTCAAACTTTCTGCTCCCGGTCAATTTTGACCTCGCCAGGAATTTGTTCCTATTTTTTTGTATTGCACTAATTTACTCAAAATTTCCTTGATTATGGGTCCTCATATGGTCCTTTGTCATCCCTGAAATTTGTATACCCTAATTTTTTTTAAATTTTCATTTAATCTTTGTTTATTGAATCCCAATTTTTTGCTGTTTTTGGAGCGCGGGGAAATTTTGTGAACAACCATCAATTAAAAATGTACCTATACATGATCCGATTGGTTTCTATGATACATCATTTGAAAGCTAAGAAGGTCTACTTTTCGATTGTGCAATTACTTTTTTAGACGAAGTCGTCCATTTTTCAATAAAATTAGAAAAAGCGGGGTCAAGGAAAAAACGCACTTTTTTTCGGTGTTTTTTTCTCCGTGCTATTTATTTCTAACATTTTAACACCTTAACTAGTGTAACGGGGGAATTCCCACCTTTCCATCGATGTATATAAGTCATACCTTTGATATCCCGGGAAAAAACAGTATATCTAAATGTACACGCTATAATTTATTACTTTCGTTCCTCCGTCGTCCGCCGCGTGTGTGCTCTACGTGGCGCTCGGGTCGTCTGCTACAAACCATGCGGCCACGCAGGGTATGATAGCAGCAGAATTCCTCTTTCACATGAACTTTGAATAATGAGAAAATATGCATTTTTAACAAAGTTATTGAATAATTTGCCCCCCCGCCGATGTGTAAATACACGGACTGTGCTCTCCGGCATACAACACAGAAGCTCATTATTCGAGGTGCGCTTCGTGCCGTTTTTCTCGAAACCGGGCAAATTTTCGAAAAAAATTATATGGACCATTTTTGTAGAAAATTAACTAAAATTTAATTTTTATCTGAACCGAAAATCTCTAACTGCCATATTTTAGGAGATAGTGGCTGAAAACCTATTTTCCTGGTCTTTTGGGGGCCATTTTCTCCACCATCGCACGCGTTTTCCAGTCAAACTTTGTCTCATGTTTAATGAGGTACCAAAAGCTACTTCCAACCGGAAGATGAAAATAGTGCGTAATTAACGTTAACTTTGCCTTTTTTTCCTCCTTCATTTATTGGACTATATTCACTATTGGTCGAAACGGCTTTCATGTCCCCATCTTAACTAACTGATTTACTATCTACTGACACTTAATTGGAACAAATACAGGGTGGTTCGAGATTCAGAGTTCTGATCACCCTGTATCTGTTTCAATGAAATGTCAGTACATAGTAAATCAAACGTTAAGATGGGGACATGAAAGCCGTTTTGTCCAATAATGAATAGTTTTGACACAAGAAATCCTAAAGTTGAAAAATTTCGATTTTGAACACCCTATATCTCTGTAATCGTTCCCGCTAGACACCAAGTGTGATACATGTATGATAGCAGCTCTTCAGGGAGAATCTAAAAATCCAATAAAATACAGGATGTTCCATTTGAAAATCTAGATCGAGTTGATGCCCGATACGCTTCAAGATTTTAACTTTGGAATATGATAATTATTGCAGAAAAATGTGTCCCCCGGCAAATAGAAATCGACCTGTCCGAGCGATTTTCAATTTTTTTAACATCGGAGATTTGAGCTGTAACAGGTTTTAGCTGGGACACACTGTATATCCGAATAAGACCGAAAAAAAAAATAAAGGGTGATTCTGGGATGGAAATAAAGCTGGGTGTTCAGGGTCGAAAATATTCCAAATAAATGTGTAGTTTTATTGCCAAATAATATTTACGGAAACGGAGCAATTTCGGACTGAGGTAAGTTACTTTAAATCGGCTTATTTTGAACTCAGGACTATGTGCTAAAATTTAATAAAGATCTCTCAGGGACACCCTGTATAATGTTTTTAGAATCTCCAAAAATTTACCAAGAACTTTTCTTGATATTCCGCCATCTCGAATGGTCTACCATATTGGATTAAGAATGACGTCACAATATTCTTCAAGTTACTCCCAACAAGCCCTTTCATTTGATACCCATCATGTAGAAGTGCATTAAAAATAACTATTCCGCCATCTTGGATGGCCTGCCATATTGGATTCCAGAATGACGTCACATCACTTTCGAGTTGTTCTCAACGAGCCCTTCCATTTGATACCCATCATGTAGAAGTGCATTAAAAATAACTATTCCGCCATCTTGGATGGCCTGCCATATTGAATTCCAGATTGACGTCACATCACTTTCGAGTTGTTCTCAACGAGCCCCTTTATTTGATACCCATATTGTAGAAGTACATTAAAAGTAACTATTCCGCCATCTTGGATGGCCTGCCATATTGGATTCCAGAATGACGTCACATCACTTTCGAGTTGTTCTCAACGAGCCCTTCCATTTGATACCCATCATGTAGAAGTGCATTAAAAATAACTATTCCGCCATCTTGGATGGCCTGCCATATTGGATTCAGAATGACGTCACATCACTTTCGAGTTGTTCTCAACGAGCCCCTTCATTTGATACCCATCATGTGGAAGTGCATTAAAAATAACTATTCCGCCATCTTGGATGGCCTGCCATATTGGATTCCAGAATGACGTCACATCACTTTCGACTTGTTCTCCACGAGCCCCTTCATTTGATACCCATATTGTAGAAGTACATTAAAAATAACTATTCCGCCATCTTGGATGGCCTGCCATATTGGATTCCAGAATGACGTCACATCACTTTCGAGTTGTTCTCAACGAGCCCCTTCATTTGATACCCATATTGTAGAAGTACATTAAAAATAACTATTCCGCCATCTTGGATGGTCCACCATATTGGATTTAGAATGACGTCACATTATTTATCGAGTTGCTCTCAATGAGCCCTTTCATCTGATACACAAATATTGTAGAAGTGCAATGAAAAAACTATTCCGCCATCTTGGATGGTCCGCCATATTGGATTCAGAATAATGTCACACACCTCATCGTGCATTGTCATCAAAGATACATACATTGCAAGTTCAAGGTCTCGAATTTTAGTACAGGGAATCTTCAGGATTCGGGAAGAATAATTGAAACAAAATGTATTTTTCTCATAAGGTTCAAAATACGAAATCCTTTAATTTTATACATTGGTATTTTAGCATACAGAAGTGTTAAAGCAGTCTTTCTATTCTAAATAGTATTGATGATAATAATGCTGATATACAACGTTCATATAAGGTAACTCGAATGTGATTAATAATAGGGATATACAGGGTGTTTCAGAGTTGTAGCAGCAAAAAATGAAAAAAAGTTGATATCAACAATAATTGATTGTCAATTGACCTACATTGTCATTGTTGTTGTTGTTCTATCATTGTTCTATCCGTCATTCGGTTGCCCCCTTACGAGCAACTGAACACACGAAATTCTCCGAGAATCTTTCAATTTTGGTGGTTCTAGGTTTTTTCGAGTTTACAGGGTGTTAAAAAAGTGAGTTTTGCATCAATAGCGAGATCAATAGCTGAAAAACGCTTCTGCAGATTTTAATGAAATTTTCACGGTGTATTTGAACAATCATTATACATCTACTGAACAATTAGATTTGATAGACTTTCCAGGGGCGTAAAAAAACATCGCCCTGTAGTGTTTCTGGCGGTTTTCATCAATGATTCGAATAAACCCACTAAATATACAACATTTCCGTCCTTCGACTCCATAAAGTACAAGAAAATTGCTCAAACATTTTTCAAAAATTCCACCCACTGTATTTATTTATGTTTGTCTAAAACGAAGTAGAAATCTAAAACAAATCTAGATTCGAGAATTATGGTTGCATTTTCAATGGGTTTATTAAAATAACTGGTGAAAACTCCAGGGTGACAATAGGTCGCGTGCACGATGACCGACCCTGTAGGTAAAAAATTGAAACACAACCTCACTTTTTCACAATATTTCTCATACGAATCGTGTTTTTTGCGCTATTCATTATTTCGAGCATGCCTGTTCATTGTGCTTTGGAATAAAACAATAAAAATGCAGCGGGAGACGAAGGAATCGGATTAGGAATTTTTTTCATTTCTTATTAAAATTCCTTCTGCCACCTCTGCAATAGAAGCTAATACTGCTAATAGATTCAAAAGGTCTACAACACACATGATCATATTTCGTCAGCATGTTAGACCAGTCCTCCCGTTTGAATACATGAATACAATCTTTTTGCATTATTTTAGACATTTCACTAGTATTTATATTAGCTCCTATCGCAGAATGAATTCCGATGAGAAGTCAGAGAAATTTCAAAATGAAAACTATATGTAAGTGACTATAGTAGATACTTACTTTTAAATCATAATGTACCAACCGGATTCCTTCGTCTCTCGTTTCATTTTTTGTGCATTGCACAACAGCACAATGTCATGGCATGCGTGCGATTAATGAATAGCCGAAAAGACGATTCGTATGCCAAAATAATTGAAGGGGCAAGTGGAAGAAGAGGTCAAGTAACATTTTCTGAAAATATTCGGCCATGTCATGGAATGAGGTGTTACGTGCATAATTATGTAACTTGCCCTATCAGGATTTGTTTCTATTCTTCATATCTGAGTAGATACGCAGTGGCAGAAGGGGCTATGTTACACTAAACATCAAGAACGCAATGAAAGAAGGAGCTATGTGCCCATTATCTACATGTCAGGAATTGGAAGAAGGGATTATGTATGCATGAATCATATGTATATCAAAAAATGATATGGTAGCAAAATGCAGTAAAGCATAAAAAAAAACAACCTGAAACTATTCCTCACAATTGCATAAATCAAATTATTAAACTAGCTTTCATTAAAAAATGCCAGCTAACTTGACTAAAACCTATTTTTCTCACAAACTCATATTTGTAACATAACTCCTTCTTTCACTTGCCCCTTCAATTGAGAAATACCTATTTCAATCATTTGTAAACAAATCAGAAAAGTGAGGTTGTGTTACAATGTTCCACCTCCAAGGTCGGTCATCTGACAGTTCGTGCATGCAACCCATGTTTTTGCAAAAAACAACCGACCTGCTCGCTGGCTACGTCTTTGAAAATTCTGGATCAACTCTAATTGGTCCAGCAGAAGCGTTTTCAAGCTTTATATGAGAAACTCACTCGAAAAAACTCAAACCTCTGTGTTATGTTCACATGAACTTTTTTCCATATTTTGCTGAGTGTAATATCCCCTTAACATTTGTCACTCCAATTCTGGAACACCCAGTATTTATACAGTTCACAAAAATATCGATAATACGAGCACATTTCAAAAATGCCTTCCTAACTTTACTCAAATGCATATCACCCTGTATATTTCTGAAGAATTTGTCACGCACTGCATATTCAGTGTTTTATAACCTATATATCCACTACCTGATAATGTGATGGTACATACAATCTATACTACCTACTTCAAATCATAATAATACCTACTCCATCATTTGAAAAAATAAAGATTTATTTCAAAGTTCAAAGTGGGAGCAAAGTTATAGAAATTTGAGAGGCCATTGATATGCGGTTGAAGAAGCAAAATAATTCAAATATTGAGAGATTTTTGAGAATAACGATGATATTTTTCAGTTTTTGAGAGGGAAATGTCAGAGAAAATACTTCTCGCTATTTCAGTTTCATTCGAAAATCTCATAATTTGAAATTTTCAAATGACATAATATACAGCATCCAAATCTCAAACTTTGTCCCTTATTCAACCATTACACCCTGTATAGTGCTCCAACATAACCTTGCAACATTTCCTCAGCACCTTCCTTGAACGAATATTATGAAAAAATAGCTATTTTCCGAACTAGGCCACAAAACTACTTCAGTACTTTGGATAATTTTGACATTCCCGCACTAGTACGGAAAATGATAGATTATAAACCCAGGGACTGAAGATGCACTTTCAACCTCGGTGCGTTTACTGAGGGATTAAAAATAAAAAAATAACCTTAGTTCCATGGTTTATATATGATTTTATGCACTGCAGAGATGCAAAAACTAAAAATAAAAAGGTTATGTGCCTTGAAAGCGTTATTGCTATGATGTTCAAAAGAGCCAGTATTTTGAATCCCTGAGGGATTAAAAGTGCCTCTTTAGTCCGTCACTTTTCGTTCGTTCGGAATATATAGTCCATTTCAATACTTATAGAATATTGAATTGCCACACTAGTGCAGAAAAGTGCAACTCACGAAAGCGACATGCGTGAGATAAATTAGGTTTTGTAACTTGATGACTAAGAATTTCTTCAGCATATTTGTTATTTTCAATTCAACAAGGTGGTTCGGAATTTTGTACCGGGTGTACTACTAAGAAAGGACGCCGGCTGTATCTCGGAAACTATAGGCCGCACAGGTTTCGAAAAAAAATATGATTGATGAAAGTGGCCAAGAGAAATCTCTGGAAATTATTTTCAAGTTTCCAGGACAGACCCTAGAGGGCGTAATTGCATTGGCCAGTTTAATAAACGGGTTTTTATGAAAATTTGATATATCAAGACATAACAAAAACACTTTTTCCATGTTCTCGAGTTGATTTCCAATCATTTCAATCAAGAAAACTTGCGATAGCTCTTCAAATAAAAGAGGGAAGGAAGGATGAATAGTACTTTGAAAAAACCCACATTACTACAGTTTGGTGTAACGGAATTCAACGATCTTGGTCTCATTATGAAGGTTTTTTTTAGTTCTTTCAGATGAATCACGAATCAAGTGGATTTAAATCCTGTGGTGGCCGCTAGATGGCATCGTTTGAAAAATCAGACAATTTTCCATTTTTTTCGAGAATTTCAAATGGAACCATATATTTATTCTACTCTAATATGAAAGTAGAGCAAACGAGAAGGAAAATGGTGAAAACCGCGAATTGATACCTCTTGTTGAAATACTCGAAATAATATTATGAAAATATTCACCACAGGAATCTAACTTCAATAATCGTGATCAAAAATATCCTGTATCTATGAAATTATGATTTCAATAATTCATTCATTTTGGTTTCCCAAACTGCTGTTATATCTCACAATAGTGAAGGAGATTCTTAGTAATGACATAGCTAATTGAAATGTAAGTAGTGAGTAGGCTCAGGAATGAAAGAAGGCAAGTTGGCTTTGAATGAAAGAAACGTCAAAATATAATTGAAGTTCTATTGGAAGTTTCCACTGTTCATTGAGGATTGCTTTTTTTGTCACAATGCCGATATCGAATGAGGAGGAATTTGACATGCTAGCAGTTTAATATTATTCCAAGTATTTCTCCGGTTCTTCAAGAGCTATCAACTCGCGTTTTTCACTATTTTTCTTCTCGTTTACTTCACTTTCATATTATGGCAGAAAAATATATGGTTCCATTTGAAATTCTAGGAAAAAAATTACAAATCGGCTGATTTTTCAAACGATGCCATCTAGCGGCCACCACGGGATTCGAATCGACTTGATTCGTGATTTATCTGGAAGATCTGAAAAAACCCTTCATAATGAGACCAAGATCAATGAATTCCGTTACACCAAACTGTAGTAACTAGAGTTTTTCCAAAGTACTATTCATCCTTCCCTCACTCTTTCATTTAAAGAGCTAGCGCAATTTTTTCTGATTGAAATGATTGGAAATCAACTCGAGAACATGAAAATAGTGTTTTTGATATGTCTTGATATATCAAATTTTCATAAAAACCCGTTTTTAAAATTGGCCAATGCAATTATGCCCTCTAGCGGCTGTCCTGGAAACTTGAAAATAATTTCCAGAGATTTTTCTTGGCCACTTTTATCATAAATATTTTTTTCCGAAATCTTTGCGGCAAATAGTTTCCGAGATACAGCCGGCGTCCTTCCTTAGTGGTACACCCGGTACAATAATTAACGCAAAAAAGCTGACTACTTTATGAATTTACCTCTAAACAATGTACTGGCTCTTTGACTATAGCTTATAGTGCTTTTTCGGGGGTATGTTCATTAAGAAAAAATACCCATATTATTTTGTGAGCCTCTTCACCTTTCAAAATTAATGGAAATAATCTGTACCACCCTGTATAAGACGCTCGTGAAATATTGCAGGCCAAATTGTGAGCACTATCTGTGATAGCTGAGCTAAACGAATAAAGAAAATACAGGATATTTTAGTCCTCGAGAGTGACATTTTTGAATAGATAAGACATGGATTCCTTGTTGTGGATGCGTCTAATAGCTTCGGATAATAGAATAGATATGTCCACAGTTTTTATCTTGTGGCACTGCATTTTTTGTAGTTCGTGAGGAATAGTATTAGTTACAACGACCTAAAGAAAAAACAAGTTGGTAATATGGGCTGCTACCTACTAGGCTATTCAAACAGGTCAAGACTTTCGTAATCTTTTTTTTTAATCAATTCAAATAGGGAATGTATTGGAGCAGACATTTTTTTTTATTCAAAATTTTTGAAGATGAATGCCCGTTTTATTAATGGTATATTATTGGGATAAATTAGGGTCCCTTGATGTAAATTGACGTATTTGTTATCTTAACAGGGTACGAACTATATCTCTTTCGTATCAAAGTTATGAATTTTTTGGTCGAAATAATGTCATCTGCAGATGCCTACCGAAAATATCACTGTTGTCACAATTATAAAATTAAAGAAAAAATAATCTCAATATCATTTATTGGAAAGATGAGTGACATTTTTGAAGATGTTTCAGGCTCTCAAATGATACAAGGTGGCTGAAAATGATTTTTCAATTCGGAACTTTTTGAAGTGATTTTCCCCATTCGGTCACTTCACTTTCCATGTTCTAAGTTCATTTGCATTTGATGGAAATCTGACAAATTCAAATGTGAAAACTTCCCAAACGATAAGCTTTCCACAAAATTCTCAAACACACGACATGTTTCGCTATCACAGTAGCTTCGTCAGGTGATATACTGGTACAATGAACTGAACTAACGTTGGCTTGCTCAACTTTTATATATCCTACTTTCCCAACCTGAAGGATTAGTTACCTGTGGACAGGTACGATAAACCTCCATTTTCGGAAATTAGGCACAATATCTACATTTAAAATACGGTATACCGGATCAACTTGAAAGGGTTGATATCAAATACATATTATTACTTACTAAGAAAACAAATTCAACAGGGGTGAACTATTGAGGTCTAATTGATCATTAAGTAAAATGTCAAAATTATCATCAAAACTATGGTTTTCTTCTAATATATGGTTGGCGTATGTTGAATTTGTTTCCTTTTTCAGAAAATTCATCTTATGTTCATGAATGCGCTGTATAAACGTACGACCTGTCTGACCGATATATACCTTAGGTCCCTTAGGACAAGATCCACAGTTGAGTATGTATACCCCTGATTTTTCGAATTCAGAAGTTTTGTCTTTATTCTAAATTCGAAAAATCAGGGGTATACAAACTCAACTGTGGATCTTGTCCTAAGGTATATATCGGTCAGACAGGTCATACGTTTAATCAGCGCATTCATGAACATAAGAAGAATTTCATGAAAAAGAAAACAAATTCAACATACGCCAACAATATATTAGAAGAAAACCATAGTTTTGATGATAATTTCGAAATTCTGCACGTAGAAAATGAAGGACTGAACCTCAAATCATTTTGAATCATTAGAAATCAACAAAACCAAAAAAATTTGACATTTTATTTAACGATCAATTAGACATCTGTTATATTATGGTCATAATATGATAAACACGAGCACAAATGACATGGACAAGGGTTACACTTGCTCACAACTCGACTGCCTGTCGAATACTATATGAACCAGTCTTCACACACGTCTGTCATAGGCTCTGATCTAAGCACATTCCACTGAGCAGTAGCGCATCTAGTTGCTAGATGCTAACAACCTCAATAGTTTACCACTGTTGAATTTGTTTTCTAGTAAGTAATGATATGTATTTGCTATCAACTCTTTCAAGCTAATCCGGTATACCGTATTTTAATGTAGATATTGTGCCTAATTTCCGAAAATGGAGGTTTATCGTACCTGTCCACAGGTAACTAATCCTTCAGGTTGGGAAAAGTAGGATATATAAAAGTTGAGCAAACCAATGTTGGTTTAGTTCATTGTACCAGTATATCACCTGACGAAGCTACTGATGTGTTAGCGAAACATGTCGTGTGTTTGAGAATTTTGTGGAATTCTTATCGTTTGTGGAGTTCTTACATTTATCATGGATTTCCATCAAGTAACGGCCGAGTCAATTCAGAAATTCAAATTTGCCATCCAATTGATTGATACAGCCCAACGCAGCACATTTTACCATCCTTCCAAAACATAATGGGGGAGACCAATAATTTTTTAAAACGACATAATTGTGAACTCTATAATGAAAAACTGCCAGCGAATTAATTTTGAATTTTGTCATTCATGCTAAGACGGTGAAAAAAATGAATTAGAATATGTCCATTTCAAAACACACAATTCGTGCGCCATTTGAAATTTCATCAATTCATTGGTGTGACTGGTGCGACGTCTTAGTCCCAACACGCCTATTGTCCTTGAACTGACCAATCACACTGAAACACTGCAGAATGACGAGGTATCAGAGAGAGATAGCTACAGCTCGGGACTAATACGTCACGGCTCCACCATCATATTTGGCTGTTTGAAATATCGAATGAAATATGCTGATTTCAAAACGATATAGATTCGATTCCCTTCAACTTCAACTCATAATATTGATTGTACATCAAACTTGAATCATGATTCGTCGATTGAAAGAGGTTTTCACGGATTTCTTCTCTCAGTGGTCTTCCCCATTGGATAATGTCATATGAAATTGAAATTTTGTAAGATCTCTTTTAACGCCTATGAATATGACGTGACAGCAATGTCATGTCAGGGACGCCAATACACGAAACCAAAGTCACTAAATGATTAGAAGAGATAGGAGCTATGATCTGTCTGTACCCTGTTAAATGACAAATACGTCAGTTTGCATCAAGGGACCCCAGTTAATACAACTACTCAAAGAATGTGGAGGTAGGAGGAGGGATGCAACTAGGGGAGAGAGTTGAGCAAACCTGAAAATCATTGACTATGAAATATCATGGAATAAGAGTTGAGACCAAGGTAGGTAAACTAACAGCGATTAAAATCCAAAGCATTGAAAAATTTAGTACAGTCAAAATGTGTTTGTTCATTAAGAGACAAGACGAAATTATTACTCAAAGAAGAGTTAATTTCGAAAATTTCCAGTAAATTCAATAACCTACCTTTTGCGCAGACCTGTAGAATTTCAAGGTCCTGATTTGGATCAAAACTATGGCGTGAATTTAGGATGTGGTTTGGGAAAGGACTTTCGGTATCATATTCATCAAACAAAGGGGGTGTATTCTTGGATTTTTCAATGATCTTATCATGTTCTGTAACTCTGGTTTACATTTTCCTACCACTTTGTCCAACATATTGAGTACTGCAATTTGGATTCGAGCAAGAAATACAATAAACTCCTGATTCGTGATTCAAAGCAACTTTATCTTTGGAATCAACAAATTTTTTTGAAATATCAACTGTGTAAAAAGAGATATAAATACATTAATGATGAGACAGTTTTTCAAAAGACTTACCTCATCGATGGGAGAATCTTCTATTAGTCTGGGCGCATCCGAAGAAAGTAGCCCGTGGGTTGCCAGCACGTAAATCTTGTAGGCGCCTCTTTCTTTCAGAACTTCAGCGGCTGCCACGAAAGACTGGACGTCATCGATCAAATCATCCTGAAATTCACGATTTGGTCCATTATTTGCCTTCCAATGTTAACAGGGTATCCCAATTTGGGCACTTTTGCGGGGTATCTCCCTTATCAGTAAATATAGAGCATTGCTCTTCCGGTTGTCGAGATACAGGGTGGAAATGAAAAATATCACTTTTCAGGCACCCCCGTGTCTCAGTTATCTTTGAACTTATCGAAGAAGTTAAAACTTGTTCTCATAGAGTTTTTCTCGTAGGATCCAGTGGCGTAGTTATTTTTTTGCTAGCACTTTTTGTTTTTTAGTTATGGAGCAAACATATGTTTTTTTAAATGGAACACCGTGTGTATTATTTCATATATTCATTAAGCATGAATACAGAAAAGGACAGAAGTATAGCTGGGTCCAGACTCTTGTCTAAGGTATATACAGGGACTCTAGAATTAAAAAAGCTACAGGGCGATCAATTTGACTAAATTTTCTTCTAGTCGGTTTTTTTGCCGGTGTGTATATAAGAAAACCATCGATCGAAAAATCGTAAAAAAATTATACTGACCACCATGATGGCGATTCTGCCGCCCACGTCGCCTACCACGTTGATGGGCGGCTTCTCCTTGGCGATTCTCACCGGCACCCCGACGCCGGCGTCCATCGTTCGAGAACGAGGCACTGTCGGAGGAGAATACCTAATAAGAGAACAAACATGTCAGGCATATTACAAAATGATTATTTCATAGATGAAAATGCGAAAAAATACTCTTTTTTTCCACCACTAGCTATAAAACCTACCATCATTAACTCCTTTACGAGGTGTCAAGTGTGTTTTGACGGCTGAAGCCTCGGTATATAATCTTGGTCCCTGGGTAATACTCATATTCTTTACCCCCTTGGTGTGAATAACTATTTTCAATTTCTACATGTAATTTGGACTTTTTTCAAAACTGACACTAGTTTTCATGTGAAAATACTGTCTGTAGGTTAATCGAGGAGGTGGTACATTCATTTTACTCGATTTTTTTGGGATTTACTCTCCTCGTTTCTACAAAATAAAAATATGAATATTATTGCGTTTAACAAATTTTTCTATCAGGGAGTCTAGAAGAAAAATCCAGTAGCTTGTCTGTCACAATTTGTTTGAAAATATGATTGAAGAAAAGACATATAGCTTCTCAGGTAAGGCTCTTGCCGTTCGATATCTAAGTGATCTATAGTTGCGAACCCCCCCGGATTCTCGGGAATACCCGAGACACCGGGGGGAGTCTAGACAGGACTATCTCTCAAGCAGGAAAATAAAAAAGTGACATGGACGTGAGAAATCACTACCAGTCACTGAACTCGGGCAGATGTGCCGCACAAGAAAGTGCGGTACAACTGGTTCTGCCAATTTTTTTTTTACTTTTCCTCCACAAACAAGTAAACCCATCCACATTGATCGCGACTGAACAGCTCCCCCACCCTCTTGGGTACCCCCTCAGCGAGATCACCTATATAAAGGGCCTAGCCCTAGGTACCTGTGACGAACACCTCGCATATCCACTCACATTCCCTGGCCAACACCAGCCACCTCTGCGCCAAGCGGAGGGATATCCAGGCACACATATAGATGTGCCAACATTAATAGAAATGTGTGTGATAATATGTGTTGTATCAGGGCCTACTCTATCTCACCGGGCCGGAGCATCGCTTTCGTGACGTCACACTAGTAGGGACAAAATCAAGGCAGTGGAAATTGTCTCTCCCGTTTCATTGATTTACCTCGGGAAAACGGTCACAGTTAGCGAAAAATATCAGGAGGTCAAATATGTACAGAAAAGAATTTTCCAGAAGATGAATCAAATTTCACTGATTTACGATCATTAATTTCAGAAATATGGCATATCAAAATCAATTGACGCCATTCAGAATTGTCCTTTTTCAAACAGCTACCAAAATTCCAATATTCAGTTTACAGAAATGATTCAACCATGAAAAGATTTCGCATGGTATCTAGATTGACTGAGATTTTTCTTGAAATTCCCAAGGGCCAACAACCAACCGATATTTCAATTCAAGTAGAACGATGATTCAGGTGTTCATTACAGAATAGTTCAAAAAGTTCGGACGCCTCCCATGCTTATCCTATCAACAAATGGATATATGCTGTCACTGACTTTTTTGTAGGAAATTTGATTGCCTACAAATCGGTATAATACACATCCACTTCATCTCGAAGCGTTTTAGCAGCGTTTGTCTCTGAAGATGAGCAGGACGCACTTTGATGACGTTAGAAATCCTACACACAAAAACGCCTATTCGGTATCAATTATTTTCTGCTGAAGAGTATATATTTGAATGATAACGTTAAATTCATGAAAAAACTTTGATCTGAATACATTTGCAAACTATCAAAATTAAAAAGAACAAAATATGTGGAGTTCATATGAACACAACCTAACAAAAATAATTGAAAAAATATGTATCTCAACAATGAGAGATATAAAAATGAATATAACGACTTAAATAACAAAATACCCAGAACAACGATATATGAATGAATAAGCAAAAAATAAAAAAAAACGTTGAATCCTTATACACAAACAAAACCAAACAAAATAAACTGTATAAATGATCAACATAACAAAATAAAAAAAAAAATTTGATATCACAAAATGAAATACACTAATAACAAAAAATATATATACATCATCTTAATCACAAACTAAATATTGAAATCTGAACTATATCTCATCTTGAAAGTTTAGTGACTTTTCTTTTTTAACTTTATTTTGCAATAATTGTTCAACACAATATTTGAAATGGTTTTAGAGAATGTTCTGCTGATTAAATCAAAAGACCCACAACTGCAACATATTGATTCTCGGAATAATTGAGAAGGGAATTGATTTTAATTTCTGCTAAATTCTCCAAAACTATATGTTGTGACTTACATTGTAGAAATATTGTTTTGAATTTTTCAGACACAAATATTAGTTGGTCTGAACCATACGCCATTTAGAAATATAATGAGTAATAAAAAGTATATCGCCCTTTACCAGTCGAAGGAATTACCGCGAAATCGTAATACAGCGAAATTTGGGTAGGTAGGTATAATGGCCCATTTTTTACGCGCTCTTTATATTCAATTTCTTTCGGACTCATTGTAGATAACTCTACAATGTTTTCACTATTCAATTGATTCATTATCGTAGTTTGATATATTGAGTTAGTTTCATCTTATTCCAATTCCAAATTTGCAAAAAATAGTATTCTGTAGTACAACGTCCTGATTTTCAATAAAATGGAATTTCGTTACAACGCCATAACTCGGTATTGATTCATCCTATTGGATTCATTTTTTCACCAAAAGTTGACAAATTTGTTGGGGATCATTTCGTCTCGATTGAGTGTGCTTCTAAAATTTATAGTAAATGAGCTATAGCCTATCAATTACCAACGCATCAGTACGGACTGATGTGAAATCTCAACCTACTAGTGTGACGTCAGCGTCGAGAGAGAGGGGATAGACTACGGCCCGGTAAGATATAGTAGGCCCTGGTTGTATTGTGAAAAACTTGAAGATGAATGAATGATTTAATACGTTCGATATCTGAAGTTGAGCAGTGTCGAGCGCGGTTAGTACTTGGATGGGTGACGATTAGAGGAAACGCCGCGTAAGCCCGAACATCTGTAGCGAGATAGCATATCATAGCTACAGCAACCATATGAATAAGCACAAGATATTGTAGGGATATGCCGTCCTTCGGAGGGGACGTTAAGCCGGCGGTCCCGAGGCCATGGATGTTGGACTCGTTAAAGATCCCTACCTCTGGTTGGAACACCAGAGGATTCGGCAAAATTTCCGGTTGGGGTTATAGTGTGCTCACCGGCGTCGGTGATTAGCCACAGTAGCAGAAAAAGGCCGACGTTAAAGAAACAAGAAAAAAAAGCTATATAGATGTATTGAAAAAATATCGAATTTTTACTTATCTTTGGACGTTCAGGCCGACCGAATCTGCTCCCATATCCAAAGAACTACATTGATAGAACGATTCACCAAATTGGAAACAAACAAAATACACCACAACAAAAACAACCATCTATAACGACGAATATAATACCGTACATTCCCGGCATATCTGAAAAAATGTAACGTGTTGGTGATAAGTTCCAAGTGAAAACTGTGTTCAAAACTGAAAATACAATGAGATCCATTCTAACTCAAACAAAGCCAAAAAATGAAGAACAATCATCAGAAAATTGTATTTATAGTATACCTTGTGTTTGTGTAAAGTACTATACAGGTGAAACAAAAAGACCTCTCTCAGTAAGGACTAAAGAACACAAGTACAATATCAAGAAAAGACATATCGATAAATCGAAGCTAACTGAACATATCCTTACTGAAGATGGACAACATATGGCAGAGTGGAATAATATCAAAATCATAGGAAAGGAAGATAACAACCATAAAAGAAAAATCAAGGAATCCGCTTGCATTCTTCTGAACGGAGACAATAGCATTTCTTCCTGTTCAGTTGATATAGATAGAACATGGTATTCACTACTGAAAACTGAACATGAAAATAGTAGATTCAAGATCAATTAATGAAAACATCCCGTAACTCATTTGTAGACGAAAATCATTCATTCATATGCCAACATCAGTATGACACTGAAAACTGTCAAACTATAAGCAGCACAACTTCCAAAGAGAAATAGTTCGCATTTTTATGTCGAGAACGGGAGCAGATTTGGTCCAGAAACGTCCAAAGATAAGTAAAAATTCGATATTTTCTCAATATATCTATATTTCTTTCCTTCAAACATTTTTTCAAACAAATTGTCACTGACAAGCTACTGGATTTTTCTTTTAGACTCCCTGATGGAAAAATTTGTCAAACGCAGTGACATTTTGGGGCAAATCATCTGATTTGTCCCTCTTCAAATATATTGAAATAATACGAATATTTTCATTTTATAGAAACGAGGAGAGAAAATCCCAAAAAATCAAGTAAAATGAGTTTTCATGTGTCTCAATTTACGTAACCAGTTGCGTTAAGTACAATATTACGTAACTAGTGTTGAAATGTTCAAGTTGCGTGCGGAAAAGTATCACTTTCCGCACTTTTTAGAAAAAATTACTATTTTTTTCCAACACTAGCTGTAGATAGTACACAACATAACTAGTGTGGAAGTGGCAATTTCACAGGAGTGATATTTAGCACGATGCACCGTAGCGGCGAGTGCGGAATTGTAACGAGTAATGTACATTATTTTTTCTACTACTATAAATATACAAGGTATGTCACGACGAGCTTACACTAACTCTATAGTTGAGTTCGGTATTGACATCAGACTGCTCCGATCAATCTGTGTCGTTCGTTTATGACATCTAGATGTAGGGGAAGTAAATCTTATCCGTTCGGCAATTAAAATCGGAGCGATCAGACGACGATCTTCATGATCCGAGAATTTCGACCGTTTTGATTGTTCAAATTTTAAGTGCATTTTATTATTTTATTATTCACTTTTTGTGAATTTCTTGAGAAAATTAATGTTGAACAACAAATCTAACTACATAAATACGTTGAGTAATATAGTAATATGTGTCTTTTAACAAGAATTAAAATACTTTAGACAGATTTGTCATGACAGCGCTCTGCACCGTTCGTTTATTCCAATTAATCTTTCTAATCCGTGGCCACGTGACAAATAAATCCTTCGCATCTCTAAACAATTATTATTAGTTCTCATGAGGATAATTTAAACTGTAACGAAAATGAATGGATATGCAATGACAGTAAGTATTAAAATATGATAACTCAGTATTTTAATCACCCATACATTATACAGACCCAACAAAGATCAAGTGAGCGTGCGTAAATATTTCCATAATGTTAGTTTTCACTTTCGCATAGCTATGGTGATTTGAGATAATTTCTGAGCAACAACACAGTGTGCTATTATGCTGCTTCCATAGGTGGTCGTAAGAATTCATAATTTCGTTCTGATGACGATGACTTACCTGCCGTCCACTTCGTCTGATTCCGCCTCTTTCTGCTCGCCATGGATGACGGCGATGCCGAGACGAAGACGTTCCGCGTACGACGTCGCCTTTGCCGTCGCCGCCGGATTCCGAGCCACTATCACCGAGTTGCGATAGTCCGGGATCTGCCCATCGAAAAAAAAAACTCACGACTAAATAGCAATAGATGGACACTGCGATTCATTGAAAAATCATGAAAAAGTATACACTAACAATCCTGAACGCCGCCAAACACGGGAAGATTAATGAATTCTCGAATGGTGGGGATAATAACAGACACTTGTACATACATGTACGGGTGAGTGCTCAGACTAAATAACAATAAATAGACACCACGATTCATACATTAAACACTACTAGAATCGTCTGTATTTTATTAAAGAATTGTGGTGATGACTGGAAGTTTTACAACTACTTCATTTCGATTGATATCTGATTGATTGTCTTCATTACCCCCAAGAAATATATATGTTTATGATAGGGATACATGAACACGTATCAAAAAAAATATTGATTATAACAAAACGTTAACTAATGAATTCCACTCAGTGGAAACAAATTCATACTTTTTCTTAAGATGAAAGTTACAACATTTCAATTCTGAGTGATCAAATCCTGCCAAATATTTTCAATCAAAATGTCCTGACCAGGTATTGTTCAAGATTTACTTTAAATCTTCTTACATCATGTATATTTTTCAATTCATTCGATAATTATTTATATAAAATTATTCCATTATGAAATACAGATTGTATGCCAATGTTCGACTTGAATGTATTTGCTATCAAGTAATTCAATTGTCTAGTCCCATAACTATAGACTGTATTGACCTAAGATTGATATTCTGTATTTATTCCCAACAAAATTAATAAAACAACATATTTTGAGTTTATGTAACGAAATCAGATTTGGAAATTGGCTAGGTTCTAGAAAATTTAGATGAAAAATACACTTAACTGATTTGTTTTGTAATTCCATTAAGGTTTTAGGCGTGAAATGTTTGTGCTCCCCCAGATAGGGATAAAATATTGTAAATTTGAATGTTTTTTTTTTATCGCTTGGAGCGCACGAAAGGAAATCCCTATAATGTTCAAAGAACATCGTGCGTTCCTAGGGAGGATAGGGATAGGAGGTAGGTATTGGAATTTTTTTTGAACTTCTGGAGATTATATGATGTTGGGAATACTTCCTCAGGCAATGAATTCCAGAGCCTAGCCGTTCTATGGATGAAGGAGTCTTGATAAAGTGCTGTTCGACATCTTTCGAGGTTGACAACGAAGGGATGTGCTGACTGGGCTTGTCTAGTTCGTCTGACTGGTGTTGCTAGTGAAGGGATGATAGCAGAGATTTCCGAAGAACATTTCCCGTGGAAGTATCGATAGAAAAGTGAAAGGTCGCCGACCTTTCTACGGTGTTCCAATGATGTCAAAGAGTGAGTGAGTGTGGCGTCACCCACCAGGCGAATGGCTCTTCTCTGGATGGAATCTAAGAGCATCAGCGTATGTTTTGGTGCTGAACCCCATATGTGGGAACAGTATTCTAGAACAGGCCGTATCTGCGCTTTGTAGATCATGAGAAGCTGTTGAGGTGTAAAGTAGCTTTTCGCACGGAACAAGAATCCGAGTTTTTGTGAAGCAGCTTTTGCGATGGATCTGACATGATTATCCCATGAAAGAGTGTTGCTGATGGAAATACCGAGCATAGATATGGTGGGCTTGGTGGGGATGGTGGAGCCAGACATTACAATATCGGGCATACTGAGTTCCGCCTTTCTAGAGAAAATGCAGGCTTGAGTTTTGGTGGCGTTGAATTCAACTAGGTATGAGGAAAAAGTAAATACACTTCAGGTATTTTACAGGAATGATTGTGAACTATGTATTTGAATTAAATCGGCTGTTTTTTCACTTACACTTTCTTGTATGTACTGAAGAAGGAAAGGACTAGCTCGTAGATTGTCCACGGGACAATCGAAGAACCCTTGGATCTCCTTCTGGTGCAGGTCCATCGTGATGATGTGCGTCAGCCCCGATTTACACATCATTTGGGCCAACAGTTTCGTCACTATACTGCCCCTCTTCCGCATCTTACCTGTCGTCAAGAACACGTTTTTTCTGAAATCGCTCAAAAATAATTTTTCAACGAGCGTGCGTGATTCACCCTATACCCGCACGCAATTTAGTTTGGGAAGTGTCATTTTCCCACAGTAGTGCGGGAAAAACATTTATACAGGGTTACTGTTAATTCGATACATTCCTTTGGTGATGTGATAGGAGAGGTGGTAGGAAGTGAGTTTAATCCTAATATGGATTATGCCAAAGTTGATAGTTTTTGAGATATTCAACTTTTTCTGTTTATCTCCAAAAGGTAGACTTTGAGGGTTTAAAAAAGTGTTTTTCTACAAACGCTTAACAAAGTAGCCTTTGACGCTTTCAAATTCCAGCACAAAGTTGACGTTTTCCCAGAAATGTCATTCTTTGACAGCATTTGCGCTCGTGAGCGGAAATATTGAAAAAACGCTCGCACATCTCTGTAACCTATACATATCTATTCTTGAAAACCCCCATTTCTGTCATGATGGAAAATAGTGACCAGTGAATCATCAAACACACCTCCTTCCTGATGATATAGCAGAAAGCGCAAGAGTTTGAATCTCTTACCGGAGAAATCAAGGAAGAAATATGAATTACAATATGATACATTCATAAATTGGTGCCACTCCGAGATGGTGAATATGTATTCAGAAAACGTTTTACTGGCTTTTGGTAAAAAATCAAAGACTTTGAAGTCATCAACTCATTGGTCTATATATTCGATGGTACGTATACATGCTTGAATGTTAAAGATAATATCGGAATCAATAAGTATCTGAAACTCATCGCATTTCTCAAGTAACAATCTATTGGATATAAAGCGAGAAAAATCCAAAACATTCACCGCTGAAGATATATACCAACAAATTTCTACAAGAAGCTCCCGATGAAGCATATCTGTTGAAAACGATGAATTATACTTTATATTTAAACTCTTTGTTGTCATCAGAAAGACAGTGTATCTTTATTTTATTGCATCAATAAGTAATGTTCAATTTGATTGCCGAGTTTATTGTACTATGGCTCAGAAGTCTGAAGCTCAGGTTGCCACGCTGGTGGTCCAGTTTCAATTCTCGGTAGGCCGGACATTTTTTTTCTGGCTTGTCAGTTATTTCAATTTTTCTTTTTTTGTTTCCTTTGGACATATGGGATAATATGGATAAGAACTTTTTCAACTATTTCAATCCCTCATACTTTCAGAGTAGTTATTTCCAAAAGCTGCGTTAGTAGAAAAAATCTTGTGTGTATTTCGAGCACAAAGTGTCATTGCCGCTCACCAAAGATTACCGCGCTCCGCTCCGCATCGCGCGGTTACATTCTTTGTCGAGCGGCAACCTATCACTTTGCGCTCTAAATACACAAATAGTTATTTCCGAAAATCTGCTGTATCTTTTTCAACCTTTCAACTAGAATACATAATTAACACTATGGTCTTATGTTTGTAATGAAAAAATTCCAGATATAATAGATGCATTGTAAAAACAAAGTCGTAATTTTGTTTGTTGATTGTGAATTTCAATACTTTGTAGCGGTTATTTTTCGAAAAATCTCAGCCACATTTGTCGAAATTTTTCTAAAACTTCCTCACTGCAATAGCTATCCTGGGTTCAAATGATAATAAAAGTGCTTGATACGGGTTTGCTATTTTACATGTATAGTAAAAATGAACTTGAAAAACTTGTAATATTAGTATTCACTTTTTACAAATCCTGTTCAAAAAGCGACCTGTATTACGAATACATGCTCGGCAGCGTCTTCTTATTCCCGTTTTTGTTATTCTAGTTCTCAAATTATATTGTATTTGCAGGGCAGCGTCGGTTATCATTTGTATGAGTTCTTCCCGAGTATTTACTGAAGTTTCATCAACTAGCGCTTCCATATCACCCCACACGTAATGATCAAGTGGGGTTAGGTCAAGGCTTCGCGCTGGCCAACCCATTCGATCTGACCTTCTAACCCAACGGTTCAACACATTAACAAAAAACTTCCGTGGAGTATACTACGGCCTTGCCAAAAATGCTATCTCGGAAAGCGAGATAGAGGTATAGTTACTTTGGAAAAAATGATCCCCATCGAATTTTGAGCAACTTTGGTTTTTGTGTGTGGTCTGTCTGTCTGTCTGTCTGTACTGCGTGGTAATCATAAATCGATATATCTCCGGAACCCTTTGACATATCGACTAGAAATGTTGCCAATATTATGTCATTAAAATATGAAGGAAATCGAAAAACTCTAAGGTGGTTTTTCCGGGTTTTTTCGATTTTCCACCGGAAGTTTCTTGTGACCACTCTACAAATCGCAAAAGTGGTCCGATCGATTTAATTTTTTGTGAAAAAAAACTCTATCAGGAAGAGACGAAGCCTATTGAAATTGAGCAGGGTCGGGAAATTCCAAGTGGGTTTCTCAAGGAGATTTTCCGAAACACACGGTTCTCTTTAAAACGACATGTCTCCTGAACCAATAGACTAAATCCAAATTTGAAAAATGCACCGTATGCCTCTTTGATGACGGAACAAATTATTATTTCACCATTTTTTCGTGCATCCATAGGAAAATGGAAAAACAAATGAAAATCTCAAAACATCAAAATTTGAAATCCTTTCAATTCAATATATATCGAAAACAAATGGAAAAAACGAAAATTATCAGAAGTGCAAAGTTATCCACTGGAACATTTCCTACAAATTATCAACCATAATCTTTTCTGTAAACCCAATAGTACAGGAAATAAAGTAAAAAATGTGAAAAAAAAAATTTGAACGAACCATAGGGTACCATGAAGATATATTGAAAAACAAAAGATTATCGATAGATGAAGATCATCGACTTCCACGGAACCATGAAATATTTTTTCCTTTTGTTGATTGGAAGATGGAACAAAAGTGTTGAAAATTTTATTCTCAGATGATTCCAAATATCTCGAAAACAACTGAAGATATCTGAATATGTTATGAAACCAAAATTATTCCTTTTGATAGAATCTACAAAAAATCCGTATAACATTTTTCTCTGAATTCAATAGTTCGGAAGATACGATGAAAAAACTAAAAAATGTACAAGTTCCTAGATAATCACTTGCCAATAGAAAACGAAACAAAAAACAAAAGAAAGTAAAACAAGCAAACTCGACTGTCTTGATTTTTTTTCCATAAACTACTTACCTAGCTCTTTCGACTGTCTTTATTTTTCGCCAATAAACTAGGTACCTAGCTCACTTGACTGTCTTAATTTTTTGCCCATAATCTACGTACCTGGCTCACTCGACTGTCTTGACTTCCTACAAAGAAGAAATATGTTGGCAAAGTTTCAACTTTCTTTTGTTTTTGTTTTTTCAGTCCCTATTGGCAGTCGAGTGGGCAAGGAACGTATAGTTTGTGTGGAAAAACCAAGACAATCGAGTGGGCTAAGTACTTAGTTTGTGGGAAAAATCTCCAGTTCTCTGAACTTTCATAGCGTCGTATATACATCTTTGGTGCCCAATGATAGTTTCAATATAAAAATATGCTCATGATATGGTGCCATGGCCTCTACTTCCATCTTACATGAACAATGTTAAAATATCATCTGCTTTTATAGCGTCGTATAAATTATCTGACCCCTAAACTAATCTAATACCTAATGAAAACTACATCTATACTAATCTGATACCTTTCAAAAATTACGTACCTCACTTGTTAAACGAGGGTTTTTTTCGGCCCAATGATGTAGGTCATGAACATTTGTTATGCTATTTGAATGCCTCCAGCAAATAAACGAAAATAAAAACTGCCGAAAATAAATACTGATAGGCATATTCCAAGTGTGTTTTATACTATTCCTTCGAAATAACAAATCCGTATCAAGCACTTTTAGTTTCATTTGTACGCAGTTAGATAGCTATATCCTTGAGGAATTTTTTGACAAAAATGGCTTAGTTAATTTTCTGAAAATAACCGCTAGAATGTGGTTGAAATCCACGATCTACAAACAAAAATACGACTTCTTCATGTATTCTAGTTGAAAGTTTGAAAAAATTTGGAACAGATTTTCGGCAAACTAACTTTTGAACTCTTGAAGTCTACCTTCTGGAGAAAAACAAAAAAATTAAATATCTCAAAAACTATTAACTTTTGCATGCTGCATATCAGGGTTTAACTATGTTCCTATTTGCAGGAATAATTGATTGAACAAGTGTCTTTCCCGCACTCGTCTGCTTGCCCGAACACTGCATTGCTCAATATGTTCAATAGGCGTAAATTGCATATTGCCTGCTAGGTTCACAAAGTATTGAAAGATAAAAATCCTATTTACATTCATCATCGATCAACATTCACTTCGGAAATTCATAATCGTTTCACTAGAAATACAGGTCTTCTCGTGATGCCTATGCATAGAACAGCTTTATATGAGAGATGTTTCTCCTATAATGCTGTCAAAATATACAATTATCTCCCACAAAAGTTCAACAATAAATCAATCTTTCACTTCAAAAGGTTAACTAAATTACTTTTCTTTCGCTAATAAACCTTATTTCAGAATAGATAAAAATGTTATACTTATATTTTTTATCAGTAGTAGTCACCTTGAATTTCTTACAGAAAAATAGATTGAGGGAGGAAAGCACTTTGGAAAAAACAATTGAAATACTTTAAAAAAACTCACAAAAGTTGAAGTCAGAAATAAATCAAGTCTTCACCTTGAATATCTCACAGAAAAATAGGTTAAGGGGAGAGAAAAACAATAATAACTGAAAAAGTAGCATTAAAGGCGATAACATTTTGAAATCCACCACGCATGTGGATACCGAGATATTCACCAGTTTTCATACTTTCCCCCAACCCTGTACATATAAGTTCCTTGAGTTTAGAAGCTACTAACGTACTGGTACTGGTGGGGGACGTTTGCACGTCAGCAACTTTTTTTTCTTTGTTCTGGTTCCCACAAAAAGGGGTATCCTGTAATGTTCAGAGAACATCGTGAGAACCAAGGGAATTGGCGATCTTTCCCTTTTTTGGACAGAATCCGACAGTTTCAGGGTATGTTTGGGTACTGCACTCCAAATATGGGAACAGTATTCCAGGGCAGGTCGGATCTGTTCCTTATAGATCATAAGCAGCTGACTGGAAGTGAAATAGCTCCTGGCCCGAAACAGAAAACCACGTTTTTGGGATGCACTTTTAGCAATTGATCTCACGTGATTTTCCCAAAGAAAGTTATTGCTGATAGTAATACCAAGCATCGAAATGGATGTATTCAAAGGTATGGTTACTCCTGACAAGCTTATGTTGGGCACAGTGAGATAGGCCTTTCTAGAGAAAAGGCATGCTTGTGTTTTGTTTGCATTGAAATCTACCAAGTTATTGGATCCCCATTCGAGAATTGTTGCCAAGTCCATATTTATGTTGTCAACATTTCTCCCTCGTTCGTTTCGGATTTGCCTGGCTGGTATTGGAACCCTGGAAGAGAAGGCGGTATGCAGGGTACTATCATTCGCGAAGCTGTGTACTGGACATAAAGTTGCTTCCAACAAATCGTTGATATGGAGTAGAAATAGTGTTGGTGCTAGAATTGATCCTTGCGGAACACCAGCAAATATGATAAGAGAGTCAGACGAAACTCCGTCGACCACTACATGGAGAGACCTGTTTGAGAGAAAACTAGCTAGCAGAGAATATAGCTGGGGAGGCAAGCCATAAGATAGAAGCTTGGCCAGGAGTCTGTGATGCCAGACTCGATCGAATGTCTTGGACCAGTCCCTAATGGGACCGTTTTGCAAGCCCTAATGTATTTTTTATGAGTGATGTGGTTCGCTTAAGAGAGCTGGCTAACATACTTTTCAGGTACCGTCCATCAGCTCTCTTTCATAGTTTTTTCGGCTGTGTTTTGTAGGCTAGTAATGTACTCACTACCATATGCTGCAGAGGCAGACCTGCTAGGTATTCTCGTTAACCCCAATTTGAAACCGAGGTCCCCTAAGCAGCATTGGCATAGCCGGGATTGGCGCAGTGGAAGAGCGTCCGTCTCACGACCGCAAGGTCGTGGGTTCGATTTCCAGCACGGGCAAGGAACTTTTTTCAATATTTTATTTACGAATTAAATATTGTAAAGTTTCGGAGCATCGGCTGGGGATAGTCCTGCACGATTCGCTGTTGCGTTCCAATTAACAGTGCTGCTCCTAAAGTGGCGCATGGAGTTAGTAACAAAGCCTACACAGAACACGCAGAAAGATATGATGATGTGGTTGTGAGCGTCAGAGAAGAAGTAGGACGGTGTATGTAGGTGGGTGTGGAAAAACTACCAGCTGAGCGTGAGAGCGGGCCAGCTGCTTAAGTAGACCTCGGTCTCGGGGGGTTAACGATGATAGTTAGCAGGCCTGCCACTGCGCATATGGTAGTGAGTACATTACTAGCCCACAAAACACAGCTGAAAAACTCTGAAAGAGAGCTGATGGGCGGTGCCTGAAAAGGATGTTAGCCAGCTCTCTTAAGCGAACCACATCAGTCATTGAAAACACTTGGGGTTGGCAAAAAGGTCCCATTGGGGACTAGTTGCTGACGTGGAAACGTCCCCCACCAGTACCAGTACCAGTAAGCAGCATTGGCCCGCTCTCACGCTCAGCTGGTAGTTTTCCACACCCACCTACATACGCCGTCCTACTTCTTCTCTGATGCTCACAACCACATCATCATATCTTTCTGCGTGTTCTGTGTAGGCTTTGTTACTAACTCCATACGCCACTTTAGGAGCAGCTCGATTAATTGGAACGCTACAGCGAATCGTGCTGGACTATCCCCAGCCGATGCTCCGAAACTTTACAATATTTTATTCGTAGATAAAACATTGTAAAAAGTTCCTTGCTCGTGCTGGGAATTGAACCCACGACCTCGCGGTCGTGAGACGGGCGCAGCTACTAACGTAAATATAATATAATACAATAATTCTTCAACTTACACTGCTTGCTGTATGGAAGATACGGAATTACGCCTACGATCGACTTAGCAGATGACGTCTTGCAAGCATACGCCATGATGAGAAGTTCCATGATACTGTTGTTGACATCTCTGATTAGAAATGGAATATTAGTTAACAAATTTAGAATCACTGGATGGTATTAGTTAGATTAGCTATCTAACTAATATCCAGTGACTCTAATCCAATTGCCATATTCAACAGTGCTACCACGTTCAAAATAAGTTGATTGGGCAAAACTCATTTATATAAAAAAAAATTACCGTTTGTCCGTGAGACGAGTTCAAAGTTTACATGAAAAAAACATAATTTTGTGCGCTGTTTAACAATGAGTGAAACAAATTGGATGAATTTTGACAAAAGTGAATTTCAGAGGATAACCCTTTTTTCAGTGATCTAAGAAACATGAAAGAAATTGGAGAAGGGTTGAAACCACCCTCACCCCCTTACATTTTTTTCAGAAGAACCTTAGGGGTGGCAATAGGGTCCTCAATTTTTTGAGCAAGATGACTGATTAATTATCTTCATTTTGTTAGTCTTGTGAAAATTCCGTATTCCGCATAACTCCGAAGGACAAAAATGTTTTCTTAAATATTCCTAGTAAAAGTTTCATTTAATTGTAATACAATATTATTTGGCAGTGAAAACAAACGAATTGACATTTGTAGTGATGAAGGCGGGCGTCATATTGAACATTAATTAATTAATTTTCCACTGTCAACTTAATTTTTCATTATAATGATATCAAACTTTTGCTAGGAATATCTGTTAGCATCACAGGGGTGACAAAATGAAGATAATTAATCAGTCATCTCGCTCAGAAAATTTGAGAATCGTATTACCACATCTAAAAATGTTCTGAAATAGAATGTCAGTGGACGGGGGTAGTTTCAACCCTTCTACAATTTCTTCTGGGCTTCTTTGATTACCGCAAGAGGGGTATTCCTCTAAAATACACTTTTGTCAAATTTCATCCAATTTGTTTCACTCATTCTTGAACAGTGTACGAAAATGTGTTTCTTTATTTAAACTTTGAACTCGTCTCGCAGAGCTATCATATAAATAAATTGGGTCCAATCAACTTATTTTGACTTGTATTACACGTGATAGCTCTGTGTCCCAGCAATTTCGGGACACCTTGTATAATTTATTTTACTCATTACACAAAGGGTCCAAGAACATTGGCAGATCCACGGTACTGGCTAGGAGAGATAATGAATATAAAAAGTAAAATACGAATAAACATGATCCCGTCGATGACATTGCTGTTTCGTAAACAGCAAGAAAGACCAAGTTGCGTAATGTGTTCCTCTTCAATATGACATTCAACAGTTTGAAAAAACTTCAGCCGATTCTGAAATATTTCGAACAAACTGAAAATTTTGTGGTTACTATCCAACTAAAAAAAATGGAATCTAACGTAAACATGAAATCAAACACAACAAAGAAAAAGAAGTATCACAGCTACTGAAAAAATTCTGGAATTTTTTTCCTACTCCATGGGGGAACGAGCATGAAATTGCAATGAACAGTTTTTGACATTTATAGGTGAAATGATATTTACCTTTAACTTCAGATTACGTCGAATTCATTCTTTAAGTTGACCAACTTAAGCTGAATGAATTTATAAACAACTGAGAGATTTTGCTACTATCCAATTATTTTTTATCAAAAGCTTTCATTCAACTTGCAATGTGTTTATGGAGTAGATATCTTCATCCTATTGAGCTGATATTTTGTATAATCGTTTAGTTTGGATGACAATGCTCGATAAAGTGTATGATCTTATTCTAAAACCAATATGGCGGACCATCCAGATGGCGGAATAGTTATTCTCAATGGTCTTCTACAATATGTCGAAGTAGATTAAAAATAGCTATTCCGCCATCTTGGATGGTTCGCCATATTGGAATCAGAATAACGTCACATCACTTTTTGACTTGCTCTCAACGAGCCCTTCCATTTGATACCCATATTGAAGAAGTGCATAAAAATAACTATTCCGCCATCTTGCATGGTCCGCCATATTGCTCTTTGCTGCTGGTCAAGCATACGTGGCCTTGAGTAGGGTAAAATTATTAGAAAGTATCCTTATTGAAGAGCTGGAATGTTCGCAATGAACCGGCAAACGACCTTGCAACATTATTGCTTTGAATGTGATTAACAGTTCTCAGTCTAGCCAGCAATAACTAAAAAAATCAAAAAATGAAAATCTTTGAAAAAACTTCTATTTTCTGCAACCGACACAAAAGTCGTCCATTTTGATACCAAAATCAGCTCTTAAATTGACGTTTCTATTACTGACACAAAAATAGGTATGTTGCTAGGCAACATATTTAGTTCCTAGGAGCTAAAGTTGAATTTTAGTTCCTAGGAGCTAAAGTTCAACTTTAGCTCCTAGGAACTAAAAAGGATCTACTGGACGTCATCAAGAATAAACAACATTGTGATGGTTTTTTATTTGGGTTGAGACGCATACCTGATTTGTTTCCGATTTAAGCAGATTTGGCATTTCATACCCATGCTGGAGATATAAATACTCCTTATTATAGTTTAGTATTGGAATTATAAACATTTCAGTTAAGTATTTTTGTTTTGATCAGGGAAGCCTTCAAGATTCAAATACTTGCTTGATCTGTATTTCATTCGTTATTCTCGGAATGGATTACTTGTTTTTGAATAATCACGGCAAGCAATAGTTTTTTGTCTCAAACAACGATATTGTTTAGCTTCATTTGATAATCAAGTCAAACACAGTTTAGTATGGAGAGGAATAAATAATCGCTATTATTATTGTTGATAATATGCTCACTAACCTAACATTTTCCACTTCTTGTTCCTATAGCTGGCACTGGCGCGGTATTTGCCATTAGTGCACCTGGGCCATACACAAATATGTCACTCTGTGGTTGTATTTATTTTGAAACTACAATTCGAACATTCTAGAAAACCTAACCTGCTGTTAATGCAGGTAGAATATTCTCACCATATGGCACGGCATTGGTGGTTACTTCACATGTTTATTTGAGTTAATTGTTTCGGTTGCAGAAAAAATAGCATGTTTCATTCGGATCAAAAGTGACTTTGTTCGACTCGCAAATTTTGCTTTCGCTCGGCTTCGCTAAACGCTCCGCCTCGCAAATACAAAATTCGCTTGTCAAACAAAGTGTCACTTTTGATCCTAATAAAACAATCTACTATTATTAAACCTAAAAATTGTATGGATATAAATTATATTCCTTGTAACAAAAAATATTTCCACCAACTTTAGTGGAATAAAGTTAGTCAAGTAGTATCAAGTACCACCAGTTGCCTTATCAATATTTTGCGTAACTTAAGTCGGTATTATGAATTTTATTCAGGGTAATCTTATATCCTAGGTAGTATTTTTCTAAATTTTAGTGTTGAAATTTCCTTACCGAATATCACTCTAGCTTCAACCAAACACCAGGAATTCTTTCTCCAAAAAAATTTCCGGAAATAATTGAAGCTTTTGTGGTATAATAAGTGAAAACTCCTTTCACAACCATGTATACAATCTCGACATTATAACGAAACAGCGCCAACAAGGAAAAAAAGTATTTTTGGGGGAATAGACCAAAGTAATAAAAATCTTTGATTTCAAAGTTTATTAATTCCATATTTGAGGAAAAAAACTCAGTGATTTATTAAAAAAAAAAAACCGTTTTTTGTTCATTAAAAAAAATCTCGGTTATTTTTGCTACAGAGTGAAATAAAACACAGTAGAATAAATTCACCGAATATACTCACTTGGCTCCAGTTTGTATTATGTAGACATCTTTACCACGAATGGAGTCGTTGATCTGTACCATAGATTCGCGATTGGACTTGTGGAAAACGGCGCATCCGCTCGATTTCACCCCCAATCTTTTGTGAATCAAGCTGGCCAGCTCAGGGTGGGAATTTCCCGATATCAAAACGACGTCCGAGGTCTTTGGGGCGTCCATTTCCGAATTTTGCGGTAATCTGAAGCCGCCGAATCTGGAAATATTGTCAAGATCAAGTCCGGGCCTGGTTGTTCACAAGCACTCAGTAGCAGTGGCGTATCGTGAGTATCGTACCTGGGAAAGCTGGGAGCAAAATATAAGCAAAATTGCACCACAGGCAGTTAGTATGATTTTAGTAGTCACATAATTCCAATAATTTGTTAAATTCATGTTTTTTCTTCAATAGTTGATGCAGCAATTTTTTTTAATGTAGTAACAAACATATGAAATAGTCAACTAGGAAAGAGCCAATTACTCAAAGTGGAATGCAATGGTTAAAAATACAGATAAACTCAAAGTCATTACCACAATAATTCATAAAATGAACGAAAATGGTAGATAACGAGAGAAAAACACCTACTTTCCTGGCTATATGCCACGCAGAACATTGAATTACATCCTCTCGAAATCTATGCAATAATTCGTATAGACGAATAAAATCGCAAGTGTTTCCTTCCTAAACGCCGAGCTGCGCCTAAGTGGATCAGGAACGCGTGACTACCTGCAGACACGTTTCGAGCTGTTGGCTCTCATCAGTACAGGGCTGTCCTAAATAGCTTCCCGACCGTTATCTGGTGCAAACTTGACCCAACGTAAACGCATCTGTTTACTCAGAGTTATCCCCACCATTCGTGATTTCGTTTATGTATCTACCGTATTTGGCGTTTAGGATTGTTGCCAAATACTTTTGAAAGATTTAGGATTCAATCGCGGTGTCTATCTATCGTTATTTAGTCATAGGTCACACTGCAGTAAGATAAAAGAGCCTAAAATATATATGTATATTTATGTATAACGTCCGTATGTGTGTTAGTATTCATATTATTTTTATATTTATTCATTGTGTATTGTGTTACATTTTGAAATTTTGTATTTTTGACACGACCTATGTCATTGTAATAATCTATTGGATAAATGAATATTCTAGTCTATGGGTTGCGTGCAAGAACTGTCAGATGACCGACACTGGAGGCAAAACATTGAAACACAACGTCACTTTTCATATTTGTTTACAAGTGATGGAAATAGTTTTCCACAATTATTTTGGCATATGAATCGTATTTTCCGCTATTCATCAATTCGCTCATGCCATCACATTGTGCTGTTGTAAAATGCACAAAAACTGCAGCGGAAGATGAAGGAATCCGGATGGTACATTATGATTTAAAAGTAAGTACCTACTATAGTCACTCACATATAGTTTTCATTTTGAAATTTGTTTATTTCTCTGATTTCTCATCGGAATTCCTTCTGCAATAAGAGCTAAAAGAAATATACCTGAAATTTCTAAAACAATGCAAGAAGATTGGATTCATGCAATCAATCCGGAGGACTGGTCTGATATGCTGACGATCGTGTGTGTTGTAGACATTTTCAATCTATTAGCAGTATTAGCTTGTATTGCAGAAGTGACAGAAGGCAGAAGGAATTTTAATAAGGAATGACAACATTTCATAATGATAACTATGTGAGATTACTATTTACCTGAAAAATCATATTCTTTAGTCTCTTGCTGCATTTTTTGTGCATTGTACAACAGCACAATGCGAAGGCATGCTCGAATTGATGAATAGCGCAAAAAACACGATTCGTATGCCAAAATATTGTGAAAAACTATTTCAATCCTTTGATTCCTCTGTAACCAAGTAATAAAGTGAGGTTGTGTTTCAATAATTCACAGAAGAATGAGGTTGTGTTTCAATATTTTGCCTCCAGGGTCGGTCATCGTGGACGCGACCTATTCTAGGGAAATTGACGTTAAAGTCATCTTAACAGGGTACGGACAAAGGTGGATAGATATAGATCATAGCTGCATTCTTTTTTAATGATCTAGAGACTTTAGTTTGGTCTACTGGCATCCCTGACATTGCTGTCACGTCACGTCCATGGGCGCTACAGAAAATCATTCAAAATTTTAATAATAGGTATGTACAGTCGTCTTCAGCGGAAATGTCGCGGTTGGACGGTATGAACGCTCTTATTGCAGCGGTGATGAAGGGAGCTGACACCGTCCATGTGCGACATGATCTCTGAAGACGACTGTACAGGGTATTTACTTGTTAAGGAAGATCATGGGGATCCAGTTTTGTAATTATGATCCGATTCTATTCAAAAATGGTATCTGGGGGTTTTCGGGGTAGGAGATAATGATTGTTTCGTGAAAATTGTAAAATTCAGGATGACGGATCGAATATGGCTAAAGACATTTCTAATTATGATCTGATTCTATTGAAGTTTGGTATCTGGGAGTTTTCGGGGTCGAACTATATGATTTTTTGTCGAAATTGGGAACGAGCTTTGTAATAAATAGTTGTTTGAAAAATCAATTGAACACGCGACGTATCTCTACTGAAACTATTCAAGATAACATTTTATGAAAAAAATATCCAGGTCCGGACTTGGAAAAATTTCATGTTTCATTGTTATGTCAAAAAAGTTCACTTTGTCCACTCTTTTCGAAAAATTCCATCAGATTCAGAAAGATCAGACAAAATGCTATAAGAACTGCTCTTCAATTAATTTGGCACACTTTGACCGGTTCAATAAAAAAATATGGAGCAAAATCGTTCGAATGAATTTTCAATTCCGACCTGGCTGATAGCTCAACTTTCAACTGGATTCGTGTAAATTGATTTTTTTGTACACTTTTATTGGATAGAAATTGACAGAAGAAAGTAGTTCTGATTTTTTTTTATGATTTGACATGTTAGTTTTTGACCGAACTTCTAGATAGATATGATTACTCGTGACTCTATTTTATAAATTTGTTATAAAGTAGGCCCTGTTTTATTTTATGTAACGTGGCGTTTGTTGATAGGTAAACACTGGTAATCGAAATATTCTTGCCCTCTAGGTGCCAATTCATATTTCTAATGCTGAACAAGACGAAAATCCAAATGCTATGTTTAATTCCATAGAATATTTCCAGACCCAAGAATACGTTGCAGTAAAACCTTAACGTGGATGAACATTAGGAATAATTTTGAATAAATAGCAAATGCATCCTTACATCACTTGCAGAAGTGTATCAATAACAAAAAATGGAGCTAAGTTTATGTGTGATGGCATAACTAATTTGATAAATCACCATAATATGGGCACATGTATCCTCATGTCGTAATTTCATCAGTTGGTACCTACCTAGTACTAGCCTAGTACCTACCTATCAGTTCGAATTATCAACAAACGTCACGTCTCGTCACACAAATGGAAAACAGGGAATAATGATATCTATCTGGAATTTCGATAAAAATCTTGTTTTTCTGCTCGTCTATTCTTCTGTCAATAACTATTCAACAAAAATGTAGAAAAAAACCATTCACATGATACCAGTTAAAAGTTGACAGTTATCAGCCAGGTCGAAATTTAAAATTCATTCGAACGATTTTGTTCCATATTTTTTATTGAACCGGTCAAAGTGTGCCGTATGAATTGAAGAGCAGTTCTTATAGTATTTTGTCTGATTTTTCTGAATCTGATGGAATTTTTCGAGAAAAGTGGTACCAAAGTGAACTTTTTTGACATAACAATGAAACATGAAATTTTCCCAAATCCGGACCTGTATTGTTTTCATATATTATCTTGAATAGTTTCAGTAGTGATACGTCGCTGCCAAATTTCAGCAGATTACGATGAATCATTTCTGTAATACCAGCCATCAAAGTTATATAACGATTTCACATAATACTTCTTCGTTATGCAGGGTCAAAAAATGTTTTTATAAACAGGGTGTTTCAGTTTTTTGTGGCAGGACTTTAACAGCTTGAAGAAGAAATTTTTTTAAGATGAAAATCTCATACAAACATATATCCGTGGGAGCTTCGTTTCCGATTTACAGGGTGTCAAAGTTTCAGATGTTTTTGTTTTGATTTTTCTAGTTTCAATTATAATGGTGTTAAAAAAAATCAATTTTGCAACTGAATTTCATTTGGTATGGAAGCTTTCGGTCATCCTATTTTCCAATAAAATGTTTAAGAAATGTCAAATAAGTGTGTTTGAGAAATAACGGATTTATTACAAGTAATTTATTTTTGGTATTTATCTCGAGATCCATACAGTTTTCGAAAAATTTACATGGGGGCAAAAAGTTTCCAAATTGAAAGGACAATCTGAATCTATGTCCCATTGAAAGAAGAGACGGCACGCAAAAAAGTTCTACAGGGTTTAAATTGGGTACGACCCCTGAAAGTCTATCACCCTGTAAGTATTCAAAAATGCTCAATAGCCTAAAATATTGAATTTTTGAATAGTATTAGGTGTACCAAATTTCAATCAATTATTCCGAGAATTGTATGAGAAAATTCAAAAAACATAAAAAAAATCTGAAACTTTGACACCCTGTGAATCGGAAACGAAGCTCCCACGCATAAATGTTTGTATGATATTTTCATCTTGAAAAAATGTCTTCTTCAAGCTGTCAAAGTCCTGCTACAAAAAACTGAAACACCCTGTATATACATCAACTCGTTCGGATTTCCCCTATTAACCATTTGGCTGTGAGTTTTCTCATGTGAGTTTTCTCATGAAACACCCTGTATTAGTTATCATCACGTACGGTCGTATTTTGTGATCGAAGAATACGCGGAAATCATTTTTCACTTTTTTCACGCTGGTGAGTTTTTCTTCGATTTTTTTATTGTGAATGATAGTATAATCTGATAGGTATTTTGAGCCGATACCACTCGATACATCTAGAAATCTCGGAGTATTCTAGCTACTCCTTTGATTTATTTCCACTACGAGTGACCAATATTTTTAAAACAAAAACTGTTTGCCTGTATGTCACTGTGGTAAATTATTTCTTGATAATGGAAAGGGTTCGATCTCTTTATTACATATTGTATGTTAAGTCCTTCCATAATCACGAGATTTTCGGAAAAAATATATTTTTTCTGTGACGGGAAAAAAGTTTGGCATTTCATCCCTGTTGGCAGGTTATAAAATGTCACTTTTCATAAATTACTTTTTTCCCGTGGGAAAAAAGTGAATACTTCTTTC